AAAATCTTGTCCTCTAAATGTTCAAGACAGCAATAACAATACCTTTAAAAAGTATTTTTACTTTGCTAGGTTCATCGTTCCTACACAACTTGTTTATGAAGCATTGTTGCGGACACTCTACAAATCAAAGTTAGCATTTTTGTTGCTTTAGGATAATGCTTGAATGTTCTGTAATTCAGCTTGCTGTGAAATGCAGTCATGGCTTTTGAGGGGAATCACACTATAATCCACGCTCTCTATTTGCATGTCTTAAATTCAAAGTCTAGTCCAGAATACAATGCATTCCATGTCTTCACTTAGTCAAGGATAACGTTAAGAAGTTGCCACCACCTCTGTATTAGCATTTCCAAAGTGGCTGCCTTCTAGATGCATTAGTCATGCAAGGGGAAAGTTATGAGAGCTGAATCTGAAATACCTAGAGGGAGGATAACAGGATAACAACTCAGAGTTTCATCAAATCACAAAATGGTGGCAAATACGTTGTTGTTGTTGTTATATTATTATTATTATTATTATTATTATTATTATTATTATTATTATTATTATTATTATTATTATTAACCTTATTCATTAAACATGAAACTCAGTCAACTGAACATTAAAAAATGCATCACAAATACCATTGACTGGTGCTAATTGTTGATACGGGTTGCTGCCAGCATCCCAGGTATCAACCAAGTACCTTCTTAAGATGTACGATGTTCCAAGTAGCGCAGGTTTTTTTGCAGTTCCGCTGGTGTTATTGCAGGAAGCTGTAATTTGTTGATGTATCTTATAAAATTCTTGGACATGGTACCAAGTGCCCAGATGACAATGGGTATCACTGTTACATGTTTCATCCATAGCCGTGTAGTTTCGATGGCCAGGTCGTGATATTTCATGATTTTTTATTTATTTATTTATTTATTTATTTATTTATTCGATTTGTATACCGCCCTACTCCCGAAGGACTCAGGGCGGTGAACAGCCAAACAATAAAATAACATAGACATAAAAATTTAAAAACCAAATAAAATCAAATTAAATTATTTTGGCCCAGACAGATTAAAACACCCCAATAATTTAAAAACAGATTAAAATTTACATATTTAAAAGGGAAGAGATTAGGCCAAGCCCGCCTGCTGGAATAAAAAGGTCTTCACAGCGCGGCGGAAGGTGCGCAGATCCGGGATCCTCCGTATCTCCAGGGGGAGCTCATTCCAGACGGTAGGTGCCCCCATAGAGAAGGCTCTCCCCCTAGGGGTCGCCAGCCGACATTGTTTGGCTGACGGCACCCGGAGGAGTCCCTCTCTATGAGAGCGTACTGGCCGGTGGGAGGCTATTGGTGGTAGTAGGCGGTCCCGTAGATAACCAGGTCCTAAGCCATGGAGCGCTTTAAAGGTGGTAACCAAAACCTTGAAGCACACCCGGAAGACCACCGGGAGCCAGTGCAGCTCGCGCAGGAGAGGTGTCACATGGGAGCGCCACGTCGCTCCCATTACCACCCGCGCGGCCGCACTCTGCGCCAGTTGGAGCCTCCGGGTGCTCCTCAAGGGGAGCCCCATGTAGAGAGCATTACAATAGTCCAGGCGGGAGGTGACGAGGGCATGAGTGACCGTGCGTAACGAGTCCCAATCCAGAAAGGGACGCAACTGGCGAATCAGGCGAACCTGATGAAAAATCCTCCCGGTCACGGCCGTCAAGTGCTCTTCTAAAGACAGCCGTGAATCCAGGAGGACGCCCAAGTTGCGAGCCCTCTCCGTGGGGGCCAATGATTCGCCCCCAATAGTCAGTGACGGCGTCAACTGCCTATATCGGGACGTCGGAAACCACAGCCACTCGGTCTTGGATGGGTTGAGCCTGAGCCTGTTCCTCCCCATCCAGATCCGTACGGCCTCCAGGCACCGGGACATCACTTCAAGGGCATCGTTGGGGTGATCCGGGGTGGAGATGTACAGCTGGGTGTCGTCAGCGTACTGATGGTACTCCACCCCGAAACCACGGATGATCTCGCCCAGCGGCTTCACATAAATGTTGAACAGGAGAGGCGAGAGGACCGACCCTTGCGGCACCCCACATATGAGGGGCCTCGGGGTCGACCTCTGTCCCCCTGTCAACACAGACTGCGACCGGTCAGAGAGAAAGGAGAAGAACCACCGCAACACAGTGCCTCCCACCCCCAACTCTTCCAACCGGTGCAGCATGATACCATGGTCGATGGTATCAAAAGCCGCTGAGAGATCTAACAGGACCAGGACAGAGGAGCACCCCCTGTCCCGAGCCCTTCAGAGATCATCAACCAACGCGACCAATGCCGTTTCCGTGCTGTACCCGGGCCTGAAGCCCGACTGGAACGGATCCAGATACGTCGTTTCATCCAGGTGCTGGTGGAGCTGTTGCGCAACCACACTCTCAACAACCTTTGCCACAAAACGAAGGTTGGAGACCGGACGATAATTTACCAACATTGCCGGGTCCAGGGAAGGCTTCTTGAGAAGAGGCCTCACCACTGCCTCTTTCAGGGCAGCGGGAAAGTCACCCTCACCCAACGAAGCATTTATAATCCCCTGGAACCAGCCTCGTGTCACCTCCCGAGAAGCCAGCACTAACCAGGAGGGACACGGGTCCAATAAACAGGTGGTCGCGTTCAGTCTACCCAGAATCCTGTCCACGTCCTCAGGGGTCACAGGATCAAACTCATCCCAGATAACATTCTCAAGACCTGCCCCAGTCCCTCCCCCTGAGACTACCCAGTCGGAGTCCAGATCTTCCCGAATCTGAGTGATTTTGTCATACAGATACTGAACAAAATCCTCGGCTCTACCCTCCAAGGGGTCCTCCCGCACTTCCTGGTGGAGCAGGGAGCGGGTCACCCTAAACAGGGCGGCCGGGCGATTATCTGATGACGCAATAAGAGCAGCAAAATAGTTACATTTCGCTGCTTTTATTGCCACTAGGTAATTCCTAATATGAGATCTTACCAGTGTCCGGTCAGATTCAGAAAGACTGGCCCTCCAACTGCTCTCTAGGCATCTTTTCCGGCGCTTCAACTCCCTCAGCTCCTCAGTGAACCAAGGAGCTAAATGAGATCGGCGCCGGGTCAGAGGCCGCAAAGGCACGACTCGGTCCAGAGCTCCAGCGGCCGCCCTATCCCAGGCGGCCACTAGGTCTCCAGTCGAGGCGTGTGCCAGAGCCTCAGGGAATGGCCCAAGCTCCATCTGGTACCTGTCAGGTTCCATCAGGCGCCTGGGGCGGAACCATCTTACCGGCTCCGCCTCCCTGCGGCGGGGTGTAGCGGTTCGAAGGTCGAGACAAAGGAGAGAGTGATCAGACCATGACAAGGGCTTGATGACTATATCCCCTATCTCGAGATCACTCAACCACTGTCCAGAGACAAAAACCAGATCCAGCGTGTTTCCCCCCGTGTGGGTAGGGTCATGAATTAACTGGGTCAGGTCCATGGCTGTCATGGAAGCCATGAACTCCTGAGCCACCTCTGACGCCTCACCCACAGACGGCAGGTTGAAATCCCCCATGACCATAAGCCTAGGGGTATCAACCGCCACCGCGGCGATGACGTTGAGTAGCTCAGGCAGGGCTGCTGCCACATGGCAGGGAGCCAGGTACGTGATCAGCAAACCCCTCTGAACCCCGTGACCCCATTTCACAAGGAGGGATTCACAGCCGGCCGTCTGAGGAACAGTGGCCTCCCTCGGTCTCAGGCCTTCTTTAATGATAACCGCTACCCCCCCACCCCTCCCCTGTGACCTTGGCTGATGGAATGCGTGGAAACCTGGTGGGCACATTTCAACGAGGGGAACCCCCCCCTCCTGGCCCAACCAGGTCTCCGTAATACCTGCCAGGTCCGCACCCCCCTCCTGAATAAGATCACAAATGAGGGGGGCTTTATTTACTACGGACCTGGCATTGCACAGCATCAGCCGAAGGCCTGGGCCCTGAGGGTCTATGCAACCTGGAGAACGGGTGGAGCCTAGGGGGCCGGAGCATGCCACCGCTCGTAGACAGCGGGTGCGCGCTCCCCTAACATGATATGGCCCCCTGCTGCCGCCATATCTACCCCTCCCACTCACAGTACTGATGTTTGAAACACTATCCGGATGAGCTCTAACACCCCCCCTCGACCCCAGGTCCCCCACCCCCCCCGCCGCACTTCGAGGCCAGACCGAACCCTCCCCCTTTTTTCCAGTTTTCATCATCATCATCATCATCATCATCATCATCATCATCATCATGCCCTCAAATTATAACCACAATTTAGCCTAACATTTTTGTTGCTAAGCAAGACAGTTGTTAAATGAGTTTTGCCCCATTTTATGTCCTTTCTTGACACAGTTGTTAAGTGCATCACTGCAGTTTTTAAGTTAGTAACACAGTTGCTAAATGAATTTGGCTTCCCCATTGACTTTGCTTATTGGGTCACAAAAGGTGATCACATGACTCTGGGACACTGCAACGGTCATAAATAGGGGGCAGTTGCCAAGCATCTGAATTTTGATCATAAGACCATGGGGATGCTGCAATGGTCATAAGAGTGAAAAACAGTCATAAGTCCTTTTTAAAAGTACTGTTGTAACTTCTAATAGTCACTAAATGAACTATTGTAAATCAAGGAGTACCTGAGCCTATTCTGAGCTGACAGAAATCCTCTTTTCTTGGCTTGCAGGATTTCTGAAGCATTCTGTGGAAGAAGACCAATCTGAAGTTGTTTGCAAAACAAATTTTGATCTTGAAGACTGCAAAGTATTTGTACACGTTACAGCAAACTCCTACAATTTCTAGACCATGTCAGAAACTTTCTTTAAAGAAATCACAGTATGATTGAAGCTTTATGTAATTTAGGAAGGTTTTAATAACATGAATAGCTCATAGATAAGAACAAATTCAGTGGTTTTAACAAGGCACAGATTCATGATTAAAGATTGTATTTCAGCCCCTTCTTGTAAACAGTTGATAAACAACAACTTAAGAAGGAAGACAAGAGTACAATGTACCATAGAGACTCACTCACAAAAGACAATTTATTTTAGGAGCATTTTAGACAGGGGTAAGAGGATCTCCGTTTCTTCAGGGACAAATCAAGAGCTCAAAATTCAATCTATTGTTCCTTCATTCTGATTATCTTCCCTGCATATGGATCTGGAAACCCCTTCATTTCCAGCAACTGACCATCTTGGTTGAGAATGATGAAATGGTGTATTTCCTATAAATCAGATCAACACCAGGTTACTGTAAACTGGCTTAAGGCAACTGCAGAGACCTAAGCATCTGGAGCACGGCAGGCAAGGGAAAAATCATTGGCTCCTTCACACTGGAAATGTTTACACAAGTCATTTTGCTCCCTGAGTTGAGTGAGATAATGTGACGCCAGCAAATAGTGCCAGAAACCTGCCCACACAACTCTATAAAAGACACAGGAGTAGAAAGGAATATTGGGTGACCCTATTTTCTCTCTCTCTTAGCTCAGCCAACCTACTTCTTTGTCTTTTTCCAGCTACTTCTCTTGTTACCACTTTATGGTAATGGGATGGAATATGACAAAGAATTTACCATACTAAACAATAGTTCCTATTGGAATGGAGAAAGAAATGCTTGTATAGAAAAGAGTGTCTATATTCACAAACACATTTACTTTTAATCTGGTCACTTATAAAATCAGGATATGTGTTTTGCTGATCTTAGCATGGCATATTTGAGCTGATGTGTGATCTGTCTTCTTAGCCACAGAGGACGCCCTGTTAACCATTGTGCGGTTTGTCATACATCTTCAGCCCAAGTCTTCCAACCATCACCAGACTTGAAAGAAAAAAAAACACAGACAGTTTATGGGAAATAAAAGGAAATGGAATATTTTTGACAGTAATGCCCTATCCCAAACAGTTTGGTTCTGGGTTTAATTAGAGACAAAAAAGGGAAAGCAAATACATTGGTGGGGGAGAATTTTGTATAGTGGTTAAGGTATCAGGCTATAAACTGGGAGACTGTGAGTTCTAGTCCTGTCTTAGTCATAAAAGGCAGCTAGGTAACCTTGGACCAGTCACTCACTCACACTCTCTCTCTCAGCCCAACCACCTCACACGGTTGTTGTTCTGAGGAACATAGGAGGAGGAAGGCATGGTGGGTATGTTTTCCATCTTGAGTTATTAGTAAAAATATTTAAGTAAATAAATAAAATCATGGAAATGCCACATTGCTACCAGACATCAGATAGGAACTCATAATGACGGTACTGCAAGAAGACATAGTTTTGGTGTCGCTGTAGCTTGCTGCAGATACAAACAAGAAATGTTCTTGATAGAGATATTGACATGCAATCATTGTGGTCACTTTACTCTAGAGCAGTGTTTCTCAATGTTGGTAACTTTAAGATGTGTGGACTTCAACTCCTAGAATTCCCCAACCAGCATATTGCCAAGGTTGTCAAAATTGAAAACATGGCTTAGAGCACGGGTGTCAAACTGGCAGCCCGCAGGCCAGATGCATCACGCACAGGCCACTCCTACCCCAGCTCCGTGAAGGGAAAAAACATCACTGTACGTCATGTAAGGGCAACGTGATGCCACAGGTTTGACACCTGTGGCTTAGAGTAAGGCAGTTGGTTGTAAAATGGGAGGCAGACCGTGGTGAAATTCAGCTGGTTCTATCCAGCTCAGGACCCACCCAGACGTCATCACATCCCGTTTTTGACCCTCTGCACATGCAGAAGGCTCTGCGCATGCGTGGAGGAGACACGCGCACTCATATTTGCAAACTGGTAGCGAAGGTTAGTGAATTTGACCACTGCTAAATTCTCATTTTTAATGTGACAGAAGAGAAAAAATTATTAAATACATGGAATCAGATGAATGGTATTAACAGTGCTAACTGAAAGCTAATTTAAGGCTAACTTAAGCCTAACTTAGTTTCTGTTCCACTTTCTTCTCCTATTTCTGATCACATGCTGACACATCATTTAATGGCCAAGCATGGTCCTCAGCCTGAAAATAACATACATACTTGTGGTCAGAGTAGGTGGAAGAAAAAGAAAGAGAAACATTTTGGATATACTGTAGTTCAGTCCCACAGTTTCCAAAATTATGGGACTGCTCAATGTCATTTTTGTCCTATTTGATAAACATATTATTTGATCTAAAACTATTAAAATTTAAAAAGGCTATTTTTACTAATTGTCAGTTTTTGAAAAACACAGTTGTAGCATGGTGCTGTATCCTTAGACATAAATCCAGTGGTGGGATTCAAATAATTTAACAGTCGGTTCTCTGCCCTAATGACCATGTGTGTGGCCAGGGTGTGTGACAGGCAGCACTTGGCCTCCTGCAGCCTCCTGGGAGCAAAAATGGGCTGCAGGGGGGATGTGCTGCCCCCCTACGCCCCATTTTGGGCCTAGTAGGCCTCCCTGCACTTACCTGGGAGCAGTGGTGGGATTCAATTTTTTTAACAACTGGTTCTGTGGGCGTGGCTCAGTTGGGGATTTGGCTTGGTGGTCATGTGACTGGGTGGGTGTGGCTAGCTGATCATGTGACCAGGTGGGCGTGCCTATGTGCATAGGGACTACTCAGAGGGCTGAATAAAGTCATTTCTGACTGATCCCCGCATTTTTGACTGGTCCTCACACTTATGACCATCCTCACATTTATGCCCATTGTGGCATTCTTAACAACTGTGTCAATCATTTCACCACTACTTCTCTTCACCACAGTTTCAAGATAGGGCGCAAAACGTAAAATGTGAGGACAGTCGTAAGTTCAAGGACTGGTCAAAAGTGCGAGGACCGGTCAAAAATAACTTTTTCAGCCCTCTGAGTAGTCCATATGCACATAGGGACTATCCAGAGGGCTGAAAAAAGTAATTTCTGACAGGTACTCACACTTTTGACCGGTCCCCCTTCTCTCTCCCCCACTCTTTCTCTCTCTCCCCCCCTCTTTCTCTCATTCTCTTTCTCTCCCCCCCTTTCTCTTTCCCTCTCTCTCCCCCACTCTCCCCCACTTTCTCTCTCTCATTCTCTTGCAGGGGGCCGATCTGGTGTCTGCAATGGAGAGCAAAATCCAGCTTCTTCTCTCTGCTGTAAGTGCAGCATCAGGATTCCGCCTTGGTATATTTGCGGCACAAGGCAGCCCTCGTTTCCTGCCGACTCAGAGCGGTAAACAGCGTCTGGTTCGGGGAGCAGCTGGATTTTGCTCTCCATTGCTCTCTCGGCCCCCTGCAAGCTCTCATCTCTCAAGAAGCCCAACCAAAGTTTCCCGCACCACTTCACTTCGAGAGACGAGAGCTTGCAGGGGGCTGAGAGAGCAATGGAGAGCAAAATCCGGCTGATCCCCAAACCAGACGCTGTTTACCGCTCCGAGTCCCAAGTGGCAGGAGATGAGGGCTGCCTTGTGCTGCAAATATACCAAATATACCAAGGTGGAATCCTGATGCCGCACTTACAGCAGAGAGAAGAAGCCGGATTGTGCTCTCCATTGCAGACACCAGATCGTATTGCACCACCTGCAAAAATGCAAAAATTTCCAAATGTAGCCCTGCCCTCTAAGAGCCCTCCTGATATTCAACTGTTGTCTCTCAAGGAGGATACTTACTTGGCCATCTTCATGCTTGAAAGGATTCTACAGTGTAACAGCAGATGTCTCCCACCTTGGCAGCTTTAAAACTTGTGGACTTCAACTCCCAGAATTCTCCATAATTCCCCAGAATGGGCTAGGCAGGAGTTGAAGTCCACAGGTTGTAAAAGAGGCACAATTGTCCAGCCCTGGGCTAGGGTAGGCTGACGCCGCGCGGGTGGGAGGCGGGGCAAGGCGAGGGGCGGACAAGCCAGCAATTTAACAAATGGTTCGGTGTGCTGCGAGGCCAATAAATTACAAAAAAACACCGAACCGTTTGTTAAATTACTGGCTCGCCCACCGCTCTCCCTGCCCCGCCCCCACTATTTATTGGCAAGGGGCGGGGCGAGCCAGAAATTTAACAAACAGTTCGGCCGAACCACCTAGAACCGGCAGAATCCCACCACTGCCTGGGAGTCAAAATGGGGCGTACAGGGACTCCTGGAAGGGGTGGGAAGGGGAGGGGCCAGCCAGCAATTTTTTTCTTTATAAAAGATTTTTATTTTTATTTCTCATAAAATATATATAAATGTACAATCTCTTTAACCATTCTTATCACACATATTATCTTTTGGTTTCCATATTGGTTCATTCTTCATCTTAAAACTTTAAAATATATTTGGAGTTGCTCTTCTATCATTCCATATCTCCCTTCTTCCACAACAACCATTCCTCGGGCCAGCCAGCAATTTAACTACCAGTTTGCCTGAACCAGCTGAATCCCATCACTGCATAAATCTCAGTACCTTTAATAAAACTCCCTTAAAAGTTAACACAAGATCACACCCTTAATGCAACAGTGAGAACATAAAAGCATACAGCCTAATACCTTGCCCCAGCAATCAATCCTGCAGGCATGAATTTCCCCGAGTTGTAGAATCTCATTCCCATAATGCCAGCTAAGGTTCCAGAAGCAACTAATAAAAAAAAAGTATATATATATATTTAAAAAACAGAATACATGCGATACATTATTATCTCATGGGTGTTTCTGTAAGGAACTGCCAACATGAAAAGGATGATAATGAAAAGCCAACAATGTTCACTTAATATCTTATCTCTTAAAAACTCTCTGAGTCAAAAGATGCGCTCCCTACATTGCAACATTCTCAACTGAACAATTTTTAAGAATACTTGCACTTTCACCTCAAACATATCCCAACAGTCCTCTTTTTTATCTGGTTTTTTAAATTATGTTTTATTTCAAAGACATATTTTCCCCCTTTTTCTATATCTCTCTTTTGTATTTTTTGGCCTACAATGGTAAATTGAGCAAATATCCCAGAGGTGCTTTTTCAAAAAGCAAGTAGACTTTGTTTTTTCCTTGAAGACGTTTTGCTTCTCATCCAAGAAGCTTCTTCAGTTTTTTGAGCAAACCAAATCATCCCAATAAATCTGAATAATAATTTCATTTTATTTAACATCTAGTATTTCTTGGGGGAATGAGCTAACTCATTGGGATTAATAGTTAACATAATGGGATTAATGGTTAACATAATGGATTTGAATTAAATCTATTAGCACTTTTATATACTTTTTTGGTAATGTAATTTTCATCCATCAAATGGTTTCCAAAATAGTATTTTGTACCAGTTTTTAATATCTGCCCTAATTTACTGCAAATTAGTGCCCTTATTTTTTAAAAAATGCATAGGATTTTTGCAATTTCCTATGGAAGGAATCCTATTGGAGGATTTTGCTGCTGTTGAGCAAAATCAACTGTACTCTTATAAACAAATGGTATTAAACACATTGAAATCAAAGGCTTGTAATAATTATATTTATGAGTCTTACATATCTATTTGTTTAAGGCAGACTTACTCAGAGAAAGCCAAATGTTCTTTGGGTCTTGAGACAGTTGGTATGCTCCAAGTCCAGCTATCCCACCAAAAAGAAGACCAGCAGCTAAAGATGGGACACTACCTTGAATAAACAAAATGAACTGTGATTGTTAAAGAGAAATGGACATTGGACAGACAATAGTATTTTGTTGTTGTTATTTTGTTGTTGCTTGGGATTATTTTTTTTTTAGATTTCATTGGAATGTTAGTTTACTTCTAAAATCTATTAAACAGGAAGCATTAAGTACCACTAGTCAGGGGACATCATTTACACCATCTTTTAAAAGATGTTGTATCCAAAGAATTATAAATGGAAGGAGAAAAGGAAAGGAGGATAGCATGGAGAACAGAATGGAGTACGAAGGAAAGGAATAGTGAAAAACTAATTAAAGTAATGAAAACATAAAGAGTACGGTCTTATATTTTTGTGTGTGCGCCTTCAAAGTGTCTTGATCCCTGGCAACTGCCTGGACTAGTCCCTGTACTTTTCTTGGCAAGATTTTTGGAAGTGGTTTGTCACTGCCTGTTTCCCAAAGATGAGAGAGAATGACCGGCCCAATTGGCTTTGTGCTAACATGGAACTAGAACTCATTGTCTCCCAATCTCTAGCCTGGTGCCTTAATCCCTACACGAAGCTGGTTCTCACGAATTTATCTAGAATATTAATTGCTTGCCCCCCCAAAAAAGTATTTTTAGTTCTATTAAGGAGTTTATATATGGAGCAGGGACGGGTTTCAAAACCCATTGCTACCGGTTCGCTCGTGGGTGCGTGTGCGCTCGCATGTGCGCCACTTCTGTGCATGGGCAGAAGCATCCGGGCGGGTGGGCGGAGTCTCCTGCTGCCGCCACTACCGGTTTGCCCGATCTGGGGCAAAATGGCAGCAACCCACCACTGATATGGAGAGGTGATTTTAAAAAACTGAAGAAACATCAATATTTTGAATTATTGTTGAACAGTCCTATTAATCAAATTGCAGGGGCTTTCAATAATGATTGTTAATGTTTCCTGTTCTATTTACAGAAACTGAAGCATCATAAGCTCTAGAGCCGTGATGGTGAACCTATGGCACGCGTGCCACAGGTGACACACGGAGCCATATCACTGGCACGCCATCTCAGCCGCTCTAGGAGTCTCTGGAGACTGGGGACAACAAAAAATGTCACTTCCTTCCAACCAGAAGTTGGGAAACGGGCCATTTTGGGCCTCCGAGGGGGTGGGGAAGGCTGTTTTTGCCCTCCCCAGATGCATAGAGAAGATCTGGAGCCAGGTGAGAAAGAAAAACGGGCCTACCGGGCCATTGTGTGCCAGGAGCGGGGGGTGGGGAGGGCGGGCGTCATGCATGCATGCGCAGGGCGGGGCACATAGAATTATGGTTGTGGGCGCGTGCACACTCATGAATCTCCCCCGCCTCCCCTTCCTGGCACGTGATAGCAAAAAGGTTAGCCATCACTGCTCTAGAGCCTTGGTGGCACAGCAGTCTAAAGCATTGTTAAGATAAGACCAGCTGCCTGCAATTATTGCAAGTTCAAATCTCACAAGGCTCAAGGTTGACTCAGCCTTGAAGGTAGGTAAAATGTGGACCCGGTTTGTGGGGGCAATAAGCTGACTTTGTATAAAAAAGAACACCGCTTGGGGGGGGCGAAAGCCCTACTAAGCAGGTATATACAAAAGTATGAAGGCTATTGCTTAATGCATTGTAAGCTGCCCTGAGTCTCTGGAAAAGGGCGGCATATAAATCGAACCAATAAATAAATAAATATAAATAAATAAATATTGAAAGACCTTAAGATTTCCTTTTATGGAGCCATTTCTTTTTCATCTTTACAAGACTATTATGAAATTGCAAAAAGTCTGATATCATGCAAGTAGTCCTTAACTTGCAACTATAATTGAGCCTGGAATTATGGTTGTAAGTGGTAGCAGTCGTTAAGTGGGTCACCACATAACCATGCCAAATTTACGATGGTCTTTTTGCGATGGTCATTAAGCAAACACTTAATTGTTAAGTGAATGCCATAGTCGTTAAGTAAACACTATGGTCATTAAGCAAGTCCATTTGATTCAATGGCTGTTTTGCTAGAAACTGGAAATGCCAGAAACCAGCAAAAACCATGCAAAATCATGGTCTGTCAACCCTGAAGCGATCCTGGCTGAGGCCATCTTTGTGGCTTCAGGTTTGCCACAAGGCAGAAGAGGGGACAGGGAGGGGGCAATAGTTAACAGGCTTTGCAGTCAAAGCAAAAAGTTTTCTTGTGGGAACCAAGGTCATTCCAACAGGTGACTAGGAGAGGAGGAGTGAAGTAACCAAGCAACTGGTCAGCACCTCTATTGGACAATGACTGATGACTTGGGGGACGGGAAAAACTTTCACTTTTTAATTAGGTGAAAACTGCGGGAACTTTCAGAATCATTTTTCACCAGTTGTGCCAATATGATGTATCCAATAAACTGTTCTTTGAGGAATCTACCTGCCTCAAAGTTCTACTTTCAATGGGTGCATTACTTGGAACGCTGACAGGTCACATGATCATGGGACAATGCAAAAAGCCATAAATGTGAGCCAAACAACCAAAATACGATAACATGACTTCAGGTTGTATATGTGTGTGGGGCTGTCAGACTCCAGAACCAGGTCGTAAGTACCTTTTTGGGGGGGCTCCATTTTAACTTTGAATTATCACTAAGCAACTGGTAGTTAAACGAGGACTACATGTAATTACAAATACACTTCAAAAGGCTCTAGAAATACATGTCAGTATTAGAACTTAAAAGTCTCTTTAAAGTTCTCCAAGCAGTTGTATTAAATGCATGGCTGATATCATTGCTTTTATTTTTATCCATAGGATCTCTAACCCACAGTGGAATGACAAGAACAACAAAACAGCATTTGAATCTGTTCCCCCAATTCTCACTTATCCTCAGAGGCTAGGATGAGCATCCTGCCAGAGGACCAGATGGAAAACTGTATATGATATGAAAAAGTCTTACCATACTGCAAATGTACACATAACAGATTTTGAAGGCAGATGAAATTTATACAGATAAATTTAGAAAAGAAGATAGGCCAAGGGAATTTTTGTTGCAATACTCTGATTTTCACAGTTACTCTGATATTCACAGTTCCGTATTATTTATTAGTAATAACGTGATTCTTAATTATTTATTAAAAATGCCCTTGTGCTAGTGAGGGGAAAACATATAGCCTTCTTCCAAGAACACATAAATCAAAGTTGCTATCTTCATAGAATCTTCTATTAGACCAGTGTAAAGACCTGGAAAAAACATTGCATTCCCCTTCAAAAGCACTCCAGGAAAGGGAGAAACTTCAATTAAAAATCATGTTATTTTTTTTCTCTTTCAAACTTAAAATTAAAATACATTAGCGTCATTTATTTTCAATAAACCATTAGTCATATTTCATAGATCAGTTTTGAAATTGAAAGTATGCCATTAACTGATGAAAAAAAAAATTATTTTAACTTCATGAATCTTAGACAGAATATGGATCTTTCAAACACTAATTAAAGCAATAAATTGTAGTGCTTGTCCTCAGCACTACTTATCCAGAGAGCTTTTGGCTTGCTTTTAACTCTTCAGTAGATCAAAATGCAAGACAGAAAAAAAACAATAAATTAATAAAGACAAAAGCAATATCACTTGTACCATACAAAATTGGGTGGTACAATAAGATATCAGTATGTAGCAGCAGAGGCTGTTTTGTGAGATTATCATCCCAAAAGGAGTATCTCAAGTAGGAGGAATTTATTCCCTGCAACAGTTAAACACCATCTTATCACAAGCATAATAACGGCAGCTTATTATCAGAATGCAGGTTGAAAAATACATGTTGGAAAGAAAAAAAACCTTCTTACTTCACAACTTTCCATTTTAAGAACTCTATGATCAAGGAGACACCAATACTCTTACCTGCTTTTGCATAGCCAATTATTCCACCAGAAGCTACTAAAGCTGCGTAGCTGAAGCCAATCCAGTCCAATCCCATCCTGGAACATAACACAACATTTAAGCTGGATCATATTGATGGTGATCAGAGACTAAATCCTACTGAGACTAATGCTCAAGTTAGAAATGCTTTAATTAGTGGAAATCCTGAGAGCTAAATTATATTTTCTCTCATCTTCTTAGCTCTTACAATTATCGCCTGAAAATTTACCTTTGCAGCTAAGATTACTTAAGTTATTGCTCTGCCTTTTAATTGTCTATAGCAGGGGTCTCCAACCTTGGCCACTTTAAGACTTGTGGATTTCAACTCCCAGAATTCCTCAGCCAGCTTTACTGTCCACAAGTCTTAAAGTGGCCAAGGTTGGAGACCCCTAGTCTATAGCATATAGAAAACCTAAAAAAAAATATTTCTAGAAATGCTTCCATGTTTAAGATGGATATTTAAAAGCCAGTCTGTATGTCTTCGCTTGCTGCTTCCCTACTTAAGGGTAAAGTCTTTGGACAATCTCAGATTCACTAACTATTCTGAAAAAAAAAATTCAGTCGGTTTCAGTTAGCGTTTTGCCATATTGTACATGGTTTCTGTGGAGAGAAATAAATTTTGTATGATGAAAAAGCAGGATAAACTGCGTAACTATGTAGGGTTGTTTTGAATATGCTTTACATATATGCTTGATTAAATACAAAACACTGGAATTATATTCTTTTAGCCAATTATTTTTCCTAACTTTTGGGCTGAGTAAGAAGCAGATACAATAGAAGAGAAACAGAATAAGAAACAGATGTCAGGAAAACAAGATTCTCAGCCTGTATTATCTTATTAAGTTACCTTGAGCTAAATTTTGCAGTTCAGGGAGGAAGGATGAATACAAATGGGGGGAAAACATATTCATTCCAGAGATCATCAATGTATGAAACATGCAGTTACTGTGCGTCTCATACAATCTCTATGTTAAATTGTATGTACTATATGTACTGTATAGGTAATCTGAGAGAAAATGCTACATAAATCAAGAGAATATAATCAGGGACCTTATTCTTATTTTATTTATTTATTTATACTCTGCCTTATTTTTTTAAATAACTCAAGGCAGTAAACATACCTAATACTCTTTCCGCCTCCTATTTTCCCCACAAAAACAACAACCCTGTAAGGTGGTCTGAAAGACAGTGACTGGCCCAAAGTCAAACCCTAAAGGCTGGCTTGAACTCAATCTCTCCCAATTTCTAGTTTGTAGCCTTTAAACTACTAGAGCAAACTGGATAAATGTAACTCTGCCGATCCTGTGACAATTATGGGAAAAGTGAATTCAATATCCCGAAGGTGCTTTTTCAAGAGGCAACTGGAGTTTCTGGGAGTTTTTTTCTTTGAAGATATTTAGCTTTTCATCCAAGAAGCTAAGGAAGGAAGGAAGGGAGGGAGGGAGGGAGGGGGGAAGGGAAAGAAAGAAAGAAAGAAAGGAAGGAAGGAAGGAAGGAAGGAAGAAAGAAAGAAAGAAAGAAAGACCCATAAAGTCCAGGTGCCTCTTGAAAAAACACCTTTGAGACAGCCATGAGCTGGATGACTGAGAATCTCCATAGACATTTGCTTTCAATAATATCTGATTTATAGCTGCAGGCATGCATTGCCTCAAAACTTCATCATCTATCAAACTATACTTACCCCGGGATACAGTGCAATAATATACGCAACCTGAAAGTCTCTTACCCTTGTCCTTTGCCGTACTATAATACGAATCAAATGCAAATGCATTAATGAGTCATGAATGCAAAAGCTCAGGAATCTCCATTAAATGTGGTTACTTACTCTCTGGCGCAGGAACAATCGCAGGGGGCTGCAGAGCAAGAATAAACAAGCCTGCTGTCAAACGATCCTTTTACTATCGAACTAACCCGGGTGTTCAACAACTGCAGGAGAGCAATACACGTGACACGGGCCGATCAGTACAACGCCCGGAGTTGCGGGCTGGGTTTTGTTTTTGTTTTTTTCCTTTTTGCAAAAGCTATGGCCAAACGGCGTATTGCCCAGAGTTTTCAGCCCATCTCTTACAACAGAGGTCTTCAAACTTTACAGCTTTAAGACTTGTGGACTTCAACTCCCAGAATTCTCCAGCCAGCTATGCTGGTTGGAGAATTCTGGGAGTTGAAGTCCACAAGTCTTAAAGTTGCCAAGTTTGAAGGCCTCTGTCTTACAAGAATTGCAGGAAGCAGATAAATTACAATAAGTTAAGATGCTTTCAGCAAGATCTCAAGTATTGGAGATTACATCTTTAAGAGTTTCTCGGCAGTGTTGCCATTGCCTTATTCCCGGGTGTTCAGTGTCAGGATGTCTGAATGAAATACACCCGTCTGTCAGAAGCGGAAACATCAGAACAAAGCTCCAAAAGTGCTTTTTTCAGAAGGCAACTGGACTTCGTTTTTTTTCTTTTCTTTTCTTTGAAGACGTTTCACTTCTCATCCAAAAAGCTTCTTCAGCTCTGACTGGATGGTGGGGAATGGAAGCATTTATATTCCTTGCAGACAGCTAGTCATTTGCATCATTTTTTTTTTATATTCAAAGTATCTCCATAACCCCTCAAACATATTTTCAAGTAAAGATAATATTAACTGGAAGCAAATAATCAGACTTGGATAAGTTAAAATCTTTCTTCTGCAATTCCTAGTTACTTCTATTAAAAATCCTTTACCTTGTTCAATTTTTATTTTCAAGAGAATCGTAGTAAAATGGGATATATGTGTTTATGAAGCTATTGAGATTTATCCTATTCTAGGTTCAACATTGAAAGCACTGCTAATTTTACCACGTAGCAGTCAGAAAACATCAGGTTGGGTTCCCTGAGGGGTCATTTTATTATTTCATGTATTATTATTGAACTGTTGATATAGGCAGGGGAGGATTCTAGTTATTTTTTATCTCAGATGCTAAAATAAACTCTTTAATTTCAATGCACCACGAGTTGGAAGCAGAAAGGGGTTGGGGACTTCTTAGGAAGATATAGAGAATTGAAGATGTCTCTGCAAAAGTGGAGCTGATGACCATGGCAAAGACTGAAGAACTGGTGAGTAGACTGGTTCTTCAAAACCTCTGTGGATAAGGCATGGGCAGGACATTGTGAACATGTGCTCCAGATGGCTGCTCCTTGCAAGGAAATTGCAGGTCAACGCTCTTCCTTGAGTTTAAGCACTGGGGGACAAGGGATGAGCCACATTTTTTGTAGCCATGATAGAGCCTTTTAAAGGACACCAAGTACAGGTAGTCCTTAATTTATGACAATTGAGCCCAACATTTCTGTTGCTAAGCAAGCATTTGACCACCTTTCTTGCCACAGTTGTTGTAAATCATTCGTTATTAAGTTAGTAAGTTATTAAGTGAAACTGGCCTTTTCACTTTGAAAAAGCACTTTGACTTTGCTTGTCAGGTCATAAAAGTTGATCCCATGACTTAGGGACACTGCAACAGTCATATGAGTCAGAAGGGTTACTGAATTTGTTTACAAGCAGGATCTATGTATGTATGTTTGTTTAAGCATAACTCTGGAATGCCTCAAACAATTTCGACCAAACTTGGTACACAGATGACTTATCCTCTGGAGGCAAGCACTGTGGGGTAACCAGGCAACCCCTGGTGTGTGTGTGTGTGTGTGTGTTCCAGCAAAACTCTGGAAAGCCTGGGTCTTTAAGGAGTGAGTGCAGCGTCCTAGAGACATTTGTTCATTATGTCATGGGAGGGGGAAGGGATCCTGATTAGGGCCGTACAGCAGTAGGCCTATGAAGGGATCCTGATTAGGCCCATACAGCAACAGGCCTATGAAGAGAGCCTGATTAGGCCAGTAGAGGCCTTTGATTGACCATGCGCCCTCACACAGTGGGGGTCTAGGCCTCCCTCACACAGTAGGCCTATGAAGCGAAGGGAGCCTAATTAGGCCAGTACAGAGGACTTTGATTGAGTGCACCACGCCCTAACCAGATCATTCACCCCCACTTCCGGCCCGTTTTCCCAGGATCGTCCTTTGCCCCAACTCATCGAGCAAAGGACGGGACCACATCAACTGAGGTGAAACAGGTATGGAGGCCACAGAGGAGACCCAGCCTATTTCAGCGGGGTGGAGGAGGCGCAGCATGGCCCAGCTCAGGAATTGATGTTCCAGGCCCAGTTTGAGGAAATGGTAAAACGGATGGTGGCACAGGTGGGGGTGGGAGGGGGAAGGGAGAGGGGAGGGATGATGGGCATGGGAGTAGGGGGAAGGAAGGCCCCTCTCGATGGCTCCCTGTCAGATGAACACTTTGATGTCTATAAATACCCGGGCAGTGCCGGGTTATTAGCTAGTCCTTAATAAAAATTATATGCAAAGAATAAAATAAGGAAGCAGAAAGAGCAGTTGCTTCTGTTCTACTTCAATGGCCTTGGCACACCAAAAAGGAAAACCCTATAACCAATTACATTCCTAGATAGAGTTAACAGAACCAAGAATCCTACATTTCAAACAATGTCACCTAAACCTACATGAACTGGGATGAAAAGAAATTTGCTCTTCACTGAAACAAATAAGACAGACTTCTCTTGAAATGCGTCCTATTGATGTGCCCGAAAATATGGGCACTTGCTAATTTCTAAAGTATAGGATCCATAAATGAAAATTTTAATTTAAGGGCAATATTCTGTTTCAATTTTTAGCCACTCAGGATGTATATGAAACAGGTGGCCCTATAAATGCAATCAATCAATCAATTGACCAACCAAACAACTTTGAAGAAATTAATGTGTAAGGTAACAATTTATATTGTTAGCTGTACATGAATGCCTCCATGAAAAGACTTTCAAGAAAACCTAAAAGTATGAGTAAATATCAAAATATATTAGCAACTTGGAAATAAATTTAAATAACAATAGAATAGGACATTTCACATACAATGTAAGATAATTGACTTATATTTTCACACTTAAAAACAAGATCTGGGTATTGTTACCGTTGAAATATAATAGCTATTTTGTAGAAACATTAATATATAAAATATTCTTAAGGTACTGAAAATGAAAAATGTCTTAAAGTGAAAAACAAATTGGTTCTTCATTATATATTTAGTATGGAATATGATAATGACTGCATATTTATTTTAATCTCTGTAACTTCTTCTTCTTCTTTTGCTGAATATTTCCTGATTTTCTTTTTAGAGCGGCTTTCTGGCCATTTTCCTCTGAAGGTTTATTACTATCAGTCCAACAAATTTTATTTTTCTTAAGTGGCTGCTGCTCTGCTTCATGTACTGTAAAATAATTAAAACAATGAAACAATTATATAATTTTAATTATGGTTTACTTGACAAAATGTTAAGAAAATTCTACAGTAATACCCTGAGATGAAGACGGTGTGGCTTCATCAGGGATCTGCCCTGTTTCAAAATCTTTTTTGAGCCATACTGCTAAGCAGGTAAGCCTGGCTTTGGTATTGATTTCACATAGCAACGATGGGGCATTCTCAATCTGAAAAGAAAAAAAAATCAAGACATTTATTCACATAAACTCCAGAAAAATAACCATGCCATTTTATAACCGCTAAAGCAATATTCATCACATTGAAGATCATTAAGTTCTGCAGCATTCTCTTCCTCAGACAATATTTTATACCAGTTATGCAAATCTATCAGTATTTATCTATTTGTTTATTTATATCCTGCTATTTTTTTTACAAAGAACTCAAGGTAGTAAATTTGAAATTTGAATGGCGTATGAAGAAATATGGTGACACGACAGAAAAAATCCCAAATGCACTTGTGCAGTCTTATCTTAAAAGAATTAGCTTGTTAACTGACCTTGTTTCTTAGAAAGCTGATTTAAGGATAAGCCATGCTATAGCCATTTACTTAGGACTAAGATCCATTGCACTGAACATTTCCGAAAGGATAGGTTAACAATTGATTGCAAATCTCACCATTTTACTGAACTTGATACAATTTATTTACAACGCTTCTAATGAAAGATCAATGTAAGAAATATGCTTAGATGAGGTATAAATGTAAACAACCCATGTTGTACTTATAGCAAAAACTGTATTTCTGTAGTATAAAGTTAAAAAGAATTGAATTCAATTATTCAGAGGCAGATTGTACAAGTGAATAAAAGTGAAGGCTTCCATTATTCCTGCAGAATTTCATTTGGATTATTGAATAAGAATTAATTCAGTGATTTTTGAACTTTCCAATATCATGATCTCCCAACCCAAAATAAAACTAATTATTTCTCTGAGGTTAAAGAAAGGGCAACAAAATATACAATACGTAATTATTTATAAATGTACGTTTAATAAATATTTCCCACTATGGGCTTGTTAAGAGAAAATGGAAAGCAAAGCCCGGACTGAATTCTGATGATGCTGTTCCTCTCTATGCAGACCTTTTTAAAAATAAGAACAATTACAATACCATCTCCTCTACACCTTAAGCTGCTTGCAATCCCCCTAAGTTTGAGAATGCTGAATTAGTTTATAAAATATAGTCAGGAATTATTTGTGAATGATTACAGTGAATTAACTGTAAAATAAGCAAAGCAAAACCTTCAAACCAGTGGTGAAATGTAAAATTTGTTATTACCGGTTCTGTGGGCGTGGCTTGGTGGTGGTGGGGGTAATATGACTAAGTGGGCGTGGGCAACTTTTTTTTTTTTTTTTTTTTACTTTTAAAACCATTTTTTCTACAACCTCTTCGGCTGAAGGTTGTAGAAACAATGCTTTTAAAAGCCTCTGATGATCCCAGCTGAGCCACGCGATCATCAGAAGCTTTTTTTTTTTTTAACTTTTAAAAGCATTTTTTCGGCCAAAGAGGTTGGCCGAGGTTGTAGAAAAAATGCTTTTAAAAATAAAAAAACACCTCTGATGATTGCGTGGCTAAGCTGGGTAAGGGAGGAGGGAGCAGGGATTTTTGCTACCGGTTCTCCGAACCACCCGCCTCCATCGCTACCGGATCTGAATAATACATTTCACCCGCTTCAAACCCTAGCATGTTTACCTTTTCAAATGACAGCTCCTCTCTTTAAGTACACCACTATTTTCAGACTTACCTATGTTGCAAGTTCACTCTGATGCAGAAACAATTCATATATGAAATGTTTTTGTAAAGCAAGTGAAAGAAACCCTTTATGCATTAGTGAAAACAAAGCAATCTTCCTCAAAAGCATGAAAGCAGCATGGTGAAAGATTTTCCCCAGCTGAACAAACATAGCCACATAAGTTTGCTGCAGTCCCTTTGAGACTATCTGTGTACAGAAATGGACACAGCTGCTTTAACACCCTGAGAACAGGTATTCTGTTTATTCTAATACATTTCACAAAGCATTGCTCAAATGCTTTGCACAACCCTAAAAAACCATATAACTGCCAGAATCACTCTGAGTAAGGTACAGATATACAGGTAATCCTCAATTTACAACAGTTTGTTTAGTGCCAGTTCAAAGTTATAATGGCACTGAAAAAGTGACCTATGATCGTTTTTCACACTTATGACCACTGTGGCATCCTCATGGTCACATGATCAAAATTCAGATGCTTGGTGGTTGGTTCATATTGACAGCTGCAGTGTACCGGGGTCATGTGATCATCTTTTGTGACCTTCTGATAAGCAAAGTCAATGGGGAAGTCAGATTCACTTAACAACCTTGCTACTAACTTAACCACTTTGGCAAGAAAGGTCATAAAATGGGGAAAACTGACTTAACAAATGTCTCACTTAGCAACATAAATTTTGGGCTTAATTGCAGTTGTACATTGAGGGCTATCTGTATATATTTATTATGATTAAACAAATAAACAATCAACCAACAATGTAATAATATAACAGAGGAGGACAGATGAAATATGTATCATATTAATTGTAAAATCTTGAAAATCACATCTAAGCAAAGTGCAACATAACCCTATCCATGTTTATTCAAAAATAAATCTCTTGACATTAAAGCAAGCCAACTGAGTTCACTTAAAACTGCAGCTTTAAGTATCATGGAAATCGTGAAATAAATTAGATACAATTTTAAGTTTTAAGGACTATGTCCAGAGGGTTCTGTATCCAGTGGGGTTCTTCCCCTCATCCTTGTAAAAAAGCATTCTTTTATGAACATTCAATTCAATATTTTTATATAGGCAAGCTGTATAAGCCATTTATTTTCTATTAGACTATTTGCTCTTTATGTAATTATTAATGGAATGTCATCTCTCATTTTTCATACAATCCTAACTATTCTTCACAATATTTTAAATAATTTGATAACACACAAACCTTATCAATATCCAGATTCCATGCCTTAATGTAACCATCACTTGATGCTGTTACTAGAATATGTAAGCCTTCCATTTTGAAATTGTACAGTGCTTTGATTCTAAGGATCAAGAGATATTACATTTTTAAATTTAAATGAATTAAAAAAATAAGAACATTCACAATACTCAAAGTATTGCAAAATGTTAACAACTATTACTTAATCAAATTCTATCCCTATGTGAAGAACAATTAACTTTGAATCATGCAATGGTATCTTAATTTGATCCCTCTCTGCTGTACTCCAAACACTATCTGACAGATTAAAAATGTGAAAAAAGTGCAAAGGAAACAGAGAGCCTGATTTACCAATGGTATCTATTTTCACCAATAGTCAAAATAAATAAGACAGCACCAGAGCTATAATACAATTCATCCAAAGGTGAGCTCAGAGTGATATGCTCAGAGAAAGACTGATCTAAATACTCCAACATTGAAAATTTAGTACTGAATTTTGATATCAACCTTATGGCAACTACATGTACTATCACTGAACAAAACTCAGAAGTAAATAGTATGTTAAAAATTAAAGTTTTTTAAACATATGCAATTATTTAATTATGAAAAAATACCTGTTTTCATGAGCTTTAAATTCACAAAGGCATTTTTGAGATTCACAATCAAATAATCGTATGAATTCTTCATCTCCTGCAATAGCAAGTATGGAATCCTTTAAGAAAACATGAAAAAAAAGTGCATGTATGAGATTGGATTCATTTACAACATTCTAAATAATTTGACATTATTTTTCTACTTACAGTGATAAACTTTATTGAAGATATCCTTTTTTCTGTAGCAATGGTACCACTGATAGAAGCTGTTTCCAGGTCGTATATATCAACTTTGTTAGCTATAGCCACCACGTATATCTCACCACTTGGCGACCATTTAACAAGATGAGCATCTAAGAAATATAAATCATATAGATTTTGAGAAAGAACAATTAAATCACAGGAGTCATCTAATGCAGATGAGATTTGGCTCTACGTAGTGAATAGATGTTTATTTATTACTATTTTAAGAAAAACCTGTCTTGAATTTAATGCCTTTACACATTTTATACTCCTGGAATTCAAGATTTATTAGCCCGTTTCTCTTTTGATGTTAAACAAAAATTCTTAAAATTAATATTAATCATCCATTAATAGATTACTATGTATAATCTATTAATAAAGATCTAAATGTTAAAATTCAAGAAATACATCACCACCAGCACTTGGTAGTAGAACAGCTATGATAGCCTTGGAAAAGATATTCAAAGACTTTGATGACTATTCTTATAAAGGTTAGAATTATGCAAGCAATGGTATTCCCTGTGATACTCTATGACAGGGGGTTCCCAACCGCTGGGCCATGGCCCACTACCGGGCTGTGGCCTATTTGGAATTGGGCCATGTGAGTGGATGCATGCGTGCAGTTCAACTTGTGTGAGTGGTGGGTCAGTGGGCACTCGTGCATGTGCTAGCCTGATGCTTGTGCAAATCAAGCTGCAATTGTGCACACCAGCGCACTTCTTGTGTGGCCCAGTTCCCCTCCCCCCCAGCTGGGCCACCAAGCTGGAAAGGTTGGGGACCAGTGCTCTAAGAAACTAAAAATTGGAATTTGAAAAAGCATAATAGGAAAACTTTGGTATTGGAGAAAACCCTTGAGAATACCATGAAGAGCCAAGACAACAAGCTAATGAAACAAATCAACTCAAAATTCTCATTCAAGGTCTAAATGACCAGTCTCACATTATCCTACTTTGGAAATATGTGAAGACTTAGTTCTCTGGAGAATGCCCTAATACTAAGAAAAGTGCAAAGAAAATGAAAAGAACAAAAAACAGAAAGAAAAAGGATTCTTTCTGTGGTGGTAATGAGTATACTGTTGTAAGATCTGAAGGACAGGGTTAAAGATGGAACGTCATGGACAAAATCTATATATGTGGTTACTAGGAGTTGAAAGCAACTTAATGGCACATAATTAATAAAATATTTTTTTAAAAAAAGAAATGTTCTTTTTAAAAAACATTTGATTAGTGAAATATAACCAGAAGATAAGATGAAATACAACCAAAATATAAGTTCTAATAAAATTAAAAGAAAATATACAGAATAGTGATTAAATGTGACATTTGAAGAAATTAAAAGTATATTCATAAAGTGTTAATATAGCTCAATCCATATTATTAAATCTAGTCTGTAGATTTATCTATAGACCATCAATTGCTCCATCTTCTCTGTTTGGTACAATATGTTATTTCAATAGGTAGTATTTATATAACATACTTAGATTCTTAATATTCTATTACTTAGGTTACTTAGAGAATATGGTTAAAATAAAGTAGAAATGATATTCTATCACTACTAATTATACTTTCAGATATTGTCACAAATGTTACAATTCCTTGACTTTTTCTTCAAAATTAAATATATGAAATGAAATTAAAAAATGAAAGAACATAGATCAAGGTATTTGTTTTATAAAAGATTTTGGTTCTAAATTAAATTGCTTGATATTAAATATCTTTGAGTTGAATAGAAGCTAATTCCATTAACAGAATACAGTAGAAGACAATGATTTCTTGATTTGATTACTTAGAGATTTAAAGAATGTCTGATTCCAAACTACTCTGAGCACATTACATAATAAAGAACTAGAACAATAAAATGAAGAAATGGATGACAAGAGTCCCTAAAAACATCACAAAAAGTGCACAATTTTACCCCAACCATTCTGACAAAAGAACTGAGAGAACAGCCAGATTTTCAGTGCCTTTTAGAACATCTTCAGGATGGCAGCTATATACTCTCTGGAGAATTCTGTTGCAAAGGGCAGACAGGATCAATGAGCACATTTGGAACTCTAATGAGTATTGCACAATAATGGCTATGATCATGGAACTTGACCATACACAAAGCATCTGCCATGTGGATATGGCTAGTCACAAAGTAACAGGAATGCTCCGCTTTAGCCTCTTCAGAATGCAGTCTACTATGCCAGCTTTCTTTATTCTGTAAATATTATTAAAGAGCAATAGGTTGAATATGGAATAATAACTCAACAAATTTTAAACTGCCATACCCAAACAATCTTTCAGTTTTCAAAGGTTTGTTGAATTCCTATCGTACAGTTTAAAATTCATTGAGTTCTTATTACTGCACATTCAACCTATTACCAGTAAGGGTAGTTATCTGCAGTAGAATTTTATAAAAAAATCTGAGATGGTCCTTGACAAAGATGGCTTAGTGCATTTTGAACAAGACTGACTGACTGAATGAACACACACACACACACACACACACTACTATTTTCAAAGTTTTACTTTCACTAGACAGTGAAAGCTAATGTAAAGGTTTGATAAATTTAAATAATGGAGAATAAACAAAAATAAATAGCAAAGGAATATACTTACTTTGTTTTATGTTTTTTATGAATGCAGATCTTCCTTCTACAAGATTCCATGTTCTAAAAAAAATACCAATACATATCTTTTGAAATGAAGATAACATGGTTATTTTAAAATTTAAGAAATATTTAAAAGTAAACTCTGATTTTTTTTATCTTGAATTTTAACTTCCCTATATTAAAGGGAAATATTTAAAGAGTTAAAGCTGCTGATAAAATATTTATCCATGAACCTGAATCTACAATATTAACTTGTCCATTACTTCTTCCTAATTAGCAAGGTTGTTGTACACCAATAAGGAAAGTAAATCATTTTCATTTTGGTAATTATGGTAGAACATAGATGTTGGTACAAATTATAGGCAATATGGTTTCCTTTTGAGGAAAACCTTGAGAGTGCAGAGAACAGAGATGGTAAAGGGCTTAGAGGCTTATACTATAAAGCAACTTGGTATGTTTAGCTTTAAGGAAAAAAAAATAAAATGGAGACATGATAGCAACCTTCTGACACATGAAGGGCTATCACAAGACAGAGAAGTAACACCTAGGATAAGACAAGAACCAGCTGTTGGAAGCTTGACTATGAGAGATCCAAATCTGAACTAGGGAGGAACTTCCTGATCGTGAGAGCTATTAAGTGAGTGAAAAGATGAGAACATATTTAAGTGACTTAATTGGCAACATTTAAGAGACATATTCTTAGCATTAGCATTTTATTTTTCAAAAAATAAATTCATTCACAGTATTTTGATATTAAAAACTCTGTTCTGGGTTATGTCTCTTGATCATATGTAGCATTACCAAGAGAGATACAGTGATTATTGTTCAGCCTTAAGAGTCGGACTGAGCTACAAAACAACTATTTTGTTCCATAGGTAATGTTACTGTAATTTGAGAGTTAGTTAAAATGGGTGACTATTAAATGACTACTGAGCTTCTGGTTTCTGGCGTGCACATGTGCGCCGGGGAGCTGTTCTTCCAGTTTCTGGTGCTCCTACGTACGCGAAGACCAACTGGCTGGCGCGCACATGCGCACTGAAACCCAGAAGAGCAACGGGCAATGGCTGGCATGCCCAGATGGCTCTGTGTGCCACTTCTGGCACACATGCCATAGGTTCACCATCACAGGTATAGGATGTCTGTTCTGAAAAATTAAGCTAAAATAAATATAAGGTTTTAGTTTATGTAGCACCCTATTTATTGGTCCTGGATCTGAAAAGCTTGAACATTTCTGTACGTATGATTACCATCCCACCAAACTGGAATATGTTTGTAAATGCACTTTAAATGTGTGGGTCGGTCTGTGTGTATTTTTAAAACAAGAGCTGTTTCAAAATCATTAGATTTAATTCTAAGTGTATTTATTTATAAAATTGATTTTGTTAGATTATTAACAGGCAGCCTGCTGTAAAAGTCTGTTAGAATGGAAGCTTTCACTAAAACATTCCTAGAGGGACTACTTTTTACAGGCTAGTATATTAGATTTCTCTTTAGCACCGCATCCTTGAGAAATCTTAACAATATTTTTCTGTAATCTTGACCTTATCAAGTAAATTCACAAATTCAAATTTCTGATAAGATTCCTGTGAATGGGAAGCAGTTTCTTACATCTGAATATTGCATTGTATGCAAACTGGTTTTCAAATAACATTCTTGATTTTAGAAAGAATCATGTTCCACCAGAGAAGCTTTAAGGCATGTATGGAAGTTGGAAATGGAGATGGCAAGACAGCAAAGTAGAGAGCATAAAACTTCATCTGCATAGTTTTGGAAGCAGCCATTATCAGCTTCTTTTCATTTATACCTTGTCATTTATTAAATTAGATTATTTTTATTCTTGATACTTGTGTGTCTTATAAATTTGTTAACTTGTTTAGCAATAACATCTCTGATATTTATTCTCACAGCCTGGAACAGCTAATTGCTTTGAAGTTCTAAAAACAGTATTATCTTAAATAAAACTAAGGCCATTTGCAGTATTATGACATACCTTAATGTTTTGTCTGTTCCAACTGATAAAGCCAACTTTCCAGAAGGATGAATAGAAAGAGATGTCACATGGCCCCTAATAAATAAAAAGCATCAAGATTTTTAATACAAATAGACCATTATCAATATATTCAATCATAATATGACCTCCAAGTAAATGTAAGTATTATATTAAGTTTATGTTTGACCTTATATGTCAGTTCTGATGGTAGAAACAGGGAAATTAATTTCTAGCAATTGTAATTATAGTAGTTTCCTTCTCCAATATTTTGAGATCAGTTTTGATTTTAACAAAAATTAGTGGTTAGGTCCTTAGGTTTTTGTTACTTTATCACTTTTCTTTGTGTTTTATACTATATTTTTATTGTTTCTGAACTTCTACATACATGATACATAGTCAACACAAGCTTTAGTCGTGGAGAAGCAAAGAAACATAATGAAAAATGAAAAAGAGGTTTAAAGCAAAAGATGGGGAATTTAGTTTTTATCATCTATTTCATTTTTTCCCCACTGTATACAATATCATTCTGGAGAATTTTGAATTTTTTGAACATTTTTTTCAGACAGGAGCAAACAAGCACTATTGTGGAAATAGAACTCTGCTTACATAGCTATGGATCCAAATTATTATAGAATTATTATCAGAGAAAGGAGAACATACTTATGGGCCTTAATTGACTTCAAGCATTCCCATTTTTTTGTATTCCAAATACATATGAGACCATCTTCAGCTCCACTCAATAGATGAGCATTCCCATAGAATTCCAAGCAGGTTACAGTGCCTGAAAATCAACGAGAACAATTCTATTCAAGCCTTTTGGTTTAAAATGAAGAATATTTCAAAATGGTTTTATAGCAAAATCATAATTTTTATATCCCTACAAATTTACAAATGTCTTGGCATGCTTTTAAATTTTATTTATTATCCTGCATTTATTATTTTTTGTAAATAACTCGAGGTGGTGAACATACCTAATATGCCTTCCTCCTCCTATTTTCCCACAACAGCAATCCTGGGCTGAGAAAGAATGACTGGCCCAAACCACCCAGCTGGTTTTCATGCCTAAAGCAGGACTAGAACTCATGGTCTCCTGATTTCTAATCTGATACCTTAACCCAAACTAGCTCTCATAGTAGGGCAAAGACAGGAATCTATGGTATCAGCAACAGGGGTCCCTGAAATGACAGTCCTTTTATCAGCAGGGGTAAAAAGCAAGTTAGCCACAAACACTGCATAGATAGTTGTTTCAGGCTCTATTCTCCGGTAAGGATATCCTTTTAGGCCATGTTCATGTGCACTGCTTCCTCAGGAGATTGCTCCTTCTCTCAACCCGTGATTCACTATTTTGCTGCATAGGACATATTCTTGGTAGTGAGAACCTTAACAACTGCCCCTTTTGAACCTATTAGGGCAATTCCTATTAGCATTCTTACTTGAAAGTCTAATAAGGAGGTACTTGGTTCCATTTCTCTTTTGAAGAGGCATATTTGTTGTTAAACTTCTCAGTTCTTGGCATCAAGAAAGACATTATTTTTGAATCTCAGAATAGGAAACAAATGCTTGTCAATATAACCAAATACTAGATTATATTCTTAATAAAAAAAATTAATATACAAATGGAGCCTTTGCCCCTTCTGATGTTCCCGTTCATTAACATAATAGTTCTTTCTACCAATGAAATTAATAGGAACTGCATAACGTTAGATAAATGACACAAATTAAAAGCGAGATAATTTTATAATAATGTGATTATGCAAATTACAAAGCTCCACAGGTTACATACCCTTCAATTTCACACATTTGTGAAAAATGGAAACTTCTCAAAATGAGTTTTCACTATACTGCAATCCTGCTGAGAACTATACCTCACTTACCCAACTTAAAATGAGAAGCATGAACTTCTTACCATTGTGGTGTACCAATGCTCCATGTTCTACCTTCTTTTTCATGTCATAGATTTGTATAGTTTCATCCTTGCTCCCAGTGACTACATATCTTTCATTCACAGCTACTGCCGATAGCGAAGCACTGTGTGCATGATGAGTAAAATCAGGAGCAACTGCCCAGTTCTGAAAATAAAAAATATTAGGAATAAAATTTAAGAATCAGTTGAATCAGCTACTCTGATTTTCCTATTAACATTCCAATGTACTGTTTTTAAAAAGTAAAAACTTGTTTGAAAAGCACTTATCTTCACAGATCTTCATCTAGCATACCTAGCATCATATCTTCCAAATGCTCATCAAACATTTTGATGAATGACATAACCTGACTCAAATGCTTGAATGGAAACATTCAGTACTAAGCTTTAAGATTCTTCTTCAAAATAAAGGATGACAGATTATCTTAGTATAAATTAGTAGAATTGTTGAAATAGAAATTATATCTTTAGAAAATGCTTTTGAAGTAGATTATTACAGCAGATTATCCTGCTGTGATTCCAAACTATCTACTTTACAGAGACAGGCATTTTTCAGTTTGAAAGTAAAAACAGACCTCATGAACCAAACCATGATACTTTCAGTCTTTTCTCACTGATCAGAAACCAATTCCATCTACTTCAGTTAGCTGCAGTTATTGTCAATTACTGCCATTATACCTAGTGGGCTATTTCATATCTATTTCATGGCCTCTGGACTTTAGAATATGCAACTAATTTCAGTTAAAATGATATCTATGTAATTTAACTGCATTTCTACAAAATGAAAGCTTGTGACACATATTTATTTTCCAAAAGAACACTGGATTTTGTTAGCGATTTCTGGATGAAAGGTCTCTCCATAACCAAAGGATGTTGTTTTATGTAGACATTCTTCTTGTCCCACAAACCTTTTTTTTTTTTTTTACAAAATATTTACTTTTTAAAGGCTTAGTTCTTAATTTTACTTCAGGCAATCAAATTGCACTTTTAAATAAACAAAAAATGAAGCATACCAACAGCTTTTCTAGACTAACTAGCAAACTTAATATCCATTGATTTCTTTTGTATCCATTACATGAACCAATTCCTCCTCAGGCTACACTACTAATGGTGGTAGTGATGGCAAATCAATAGGTTTGCATTTCTTTGATTGATTACTTTTATTGAGTTTTAATGTAAGCTGCCTTGAGTCTTTCCACTTTGGAGGCTATGTAAACCTAATAGAGGAGGAGGAGGAATACAGAAAAAGTCCTAATGCAAGTTATGTTAAATTTTGCTTCCTTTAGACACACACACAAACAGTAAATAGCAATACAGTGGAAGTCTTGCTATTAAGAAATTAGTTCAAGACTATTATGCAACCAATACTTTGATGTGAACTGCAGTGGGTTTTTTTAAAATCATACAGTATACAACTTTGGATGTTTAAAACACTGAGATTCTAAATGGCAATTAACAGATATAATTTTTACTTTTCTTTTTATTTTCAATATCTTAAGCTTTTAAAATACACCGCCAATAATTTAATTTTATTATAGAAAATTCACTGCATTGAAATCACACAATGTACTAACACGTACAGCATTTCAATAAAAGGGGTGGGGGGGAATCTTGTTTCCTTCAGGTGACAACCATGAGCTCCGCGGAAGCAACGAACCGTTCCTCCCGTGTTATGGCTTCCCATAAAACTCCGGCCACGTTTAAATTGGGAACCCACGTTTTGCGGTTTTTTTCCTGTATGGAGGTTGGGAAAACCCGTTGCTTACAACCATCAACTTCGGAGGAGTTAACCCTCTATCGAACCCGCTTTAGACCGCCCTCTCTGAAGCTGGCCTGAGCTAAAGGCTGACATAACATTGCCCTATTTTTTTTTTTTTAAAAAAACAAAAACTGCCGCGAATGACGTCGTCCCACACGGACGACAACGCTCGCTGCCCGAAAGGAGAGGCAACGCGAGCCGTGAGGGAAAAACGTCTCAGGCCGACTGGGCGGGAACGTCCCATTTTTTTTTATTCCCCCGCAGCTCCCCTACCCCCACCCCTCGCGAGACCACGTCCGGAACTCACGAGGCGGAGCCGAGCACGAGCCAGGGCCGCCAAGGCTTCTGGGAAGGAAACTGAGCAAGACGAAGGCGAGCTCACGCGCTTCCCCCTTGCCCTCGCGCACGCGTTTGGTAGCTCGAGACTCCGGCGGCGCTCGCGCAGCCTGCGGCCCTCGTGGTGAGTTTAAAAGACGCGTCAGCGACTGAAAACTCTAGCCTTTTCTGTGCTTCCCCACTTCTCCCTAATTTAAAAAAACTTACCTCGGCCGGTTGTATGGAGAATCCGAACAGAATCTGTTCGTAACATCCCCCCAGGACCTCCATTTCTCGGCCTTCCTTAGCGACGCCTATTTAGCGCGGGGTCCTTTTCTGTCTTGAGTTGTAGCGCGGCCTCCTGTCCGTTTTTGCCTCGGCGGGGGGGAGGGGGGAGGTGTCTACTCCACCGCCTGAAGCGAGGAACCGCGAAGTTGGCGGCCGCTCCCCGTTTTCAGACTGAATCTTTGAATTTCTTTTGTCGCTTGGGAGCGGGAGGGAGAGGCCAGGAACGATTCGGTTAAAAAAAAAAAAAAAGGGAAGAAACGGAAACAGGCAGTCGCGAAGACAACCCCGGGCGGAAGTCCGTGGAGGGGAGGGAAGACGGGGGAGGGGAGGACGACGACGACGACGGCGGAAGGGAGCGTTGCGATCTCCAAACGGCTGGTGATGGCGGCTGTCTGGAAGGTGATGTTAGTATTCGGGGTTTGAGGGGAAAGGGACGGGGTCCTTCGCCTCATGGGCAATTAGTATTAAGATATTGCCAATTCCGAATGCTTCCCCGGCTTTTTTTTTCGCTAAGCACCGCGTGAGTTCTGCCCCGCCCCCAATAGGGAGGCCTAGCACGCGCTGGTGCCTTTTCTTCCTCCTCTTTTCCCGTCCAGTCCCTTTGGAATGCATTTAAGCTGTCTCTGGATGGACTTTCTGGAACTGCTTTTAATGATAACTGGGATATAAGCGGGGCGAGAAGCCTGTTAGCATATGAATAGGTTCGCATGTATGAGATAACATGTTCATGCCTACCTCTGCGCATGCGCACAGCCCTCTACCTTTTGAATTCCCCTTTTTAAAAAATCCATTGCAATTTGGGAGTTTTCTCATTTAAAGATTGTAATCTTCCAACGTCGGTGTTTCATAGTGAGCGTTATCGAAATGATTGAGGTTTATTTTCCAACAACGAAGCTTAGCATTACAACTGTGTTACGTTTAAAAATAGCCTTTTAATTTTAGCTGGTGTTAAGTAGGCACAGCTCCATTGGTAGTGAAGGTTTCCTCCCACCTCAAAATTACATATTCCAAATTAAACGTTGGCAGATTAAAAATAACAGAGGGCTTGAACAGAGAAAGAGAAATAAGCACACTTCTGTCTAAAAACCGAATTTCCCTAGTTTTGAATAAAAATATATTTAAAAACTAAAAACATACAGAAATGAATAGCAACCATTTAGAGGTCAGGCCTGTTTTTCTCAGAAATTCATACTCCAATTATTTTCTAATTTAAAAAGAATGAAAAATTGCCACTTATTTTGCGCCATTGGGATTTGTATTCTTTAAATGTATTTGAAATTTGGCAGATAAAAAAAAATAAACACACTTTTTCCTTGATTTTGGGTTGGCATATTCCAGTGATACTGTGGTACCACCAGCTGTACTTTCTGCAGACATTGGAAGCTGGGACATGATCACAAAAAAGTCTGTCCCTTTGCTAAACTAAATCATATTAAGGTGCATGTTTGAACCAAATGTGCAAATATTTATTATAATCTATTTTTTTACCTATTAAGTTCAATGCAGATTGTGTTATGAAACATTTTTTTCTAATCCTTATACTATTTGTTTTTATTGTAGTGAAATCACAAGTTCTTGAACAACCTTAGCGGAAGAAAGTACTGCTGTTACTTCAGTTTAGATGATTAAAGTAACTGGAGGCAAGGTCTCACCTTGTTCTGGTACTTGCCACCTTCTGCACCTAAATTCTTTTAATTTCTTAAGTTTGTATATTTGACACATTGGTAAGTAAATAGCAGAAATTGTATTTATAAAATGTGAAACTGATGGCGTTTACCATTTCTGTCCAGTGAACCAATACCAAGCTGCCCTTATCTGGAGAAAATAGATCTAACTCGGTTATAATTTTACATTTTAAGAACTGCAGTTTTATTGTAAATGAATTTTTGTATGTTTTAATGTATTTATATATTATTAAATACCTTATTTGGGGATTGTGTATTAAATGAATATAGAATTACAGTTTGGTTCAGAGTTAAGTGTTTTTATAGAAAGCAGGGTACAGGTAGTCCTCACTCTTAATGACCCAATTGAGATTGGAATTTCTGTTGCTGTATGAAGCAGTTGTTAAGTGAAACATAACTGCACTACTTAGAGATGACAGTTCTGGTGGTGCAGTTGTTAGTCCAGGCCTCATTCTTCTCCTGCCCTGCAACTCTTACCTCCACTTCCAACTCCCCTCAACTGTCTATGTCTCCCCACCCCATCTCTGTCTTTTGGTTGCCCTGCACTCTGGTACCTTCCCGGATGGCTACACCTAACCTTCACTGCTTGCTGAAGGGGAAGCTGCATGAAAGCCAGTAGCTACTTTGAGCATGCCCTTTTCAGCAGTGGTAGGAAGAATATAGTTGAAGGGGGGGGGGAAGGGGGCAGAGACTGTAGGACAGACATGGGGAGAGGTCAAGTGCATTTGCAAATGCACATGGGCTGCCAATGCCAAACCTTGATCACATGACCTCAAGGGCACTGAAACAGTTTTGACTACCATTTCAGTTTAATATTTTTATTAAGTTGTAGATAAAATACAAAAGTAAATAGGAAGACACAGTGGGGGGGGAGGGGGAGAAAAGTGAGAAACAGGAAAAAAGAAGAAACATTGACTTCCAACTCCCTCTGTTGCAGTAAAAAAAAGCATTAACATCAAACCATAACTTTTTGTTTTTCGATAATAATATAAACTAGCCATTTCTATAAAAACGTACCAATCTAATCAGTAAAACCCAAAATCAAAGTTTCATTTTTTTCCACTTCAAGTACAAAGTTCATGTTGAAACAAAGGTACTTATATTCTTTAACCAAAACAGTCAATTTAGCCATTTCTGCCAACTCCATCAGCTTCTTGGCCATTCATCCATAGTGGAAATTGAAGTGTCCTATTTTTGTGTATATAATAGTCTTGCTGCTGTCAACATATATAAGAGCAAAGTTCCAATTTTTTCCTCCAAAGTCTTTTTTGATTAAACTCAAAAAGAAAAATTTCTGGTTTCATTTTTATTTTCTTTTTAAGAATTTTCTATATTATAATATGAATCTTACTCCAAAATTATCACATGTCCACCATAAATGGTAAAAAGTTCCTTCTTTGCTTTTACACTTCCAAGATTCATTTGAAATACATTTATACATTCTGGATAACTTATCTGGTGTTAATACCAGTGATACATCATCTTATAAATTTTTTCTTTTATAGTTTAGTGTAAATTTTAAACCTTTCATCCACATTTTCCCATTGTTCAAACATCACATTATATCCAAAATTCCTTGCCCATTAAATCATACAATGTTTTTCATGTTCGCTTTCCAAATTCAATGTCAATAACATTTTATAAATCTTAGCTCATTACTACCATTACTCTTACAGTAAGATTTCCAATTCATTGTTAGCAAAATCAAACCCACAACTCTTTTATCTGATATAAATCGTTCTTTCAGTTGTTGATATGTAAACCAATGGCAAACATAACCTTCTAATTCACGTTATTTTAATGTAGGTTCACTAGAGTTAAAAGATAATATATTACCATATGTCCACCAGTCTGGCTTTGCCATATTTCTTTTCTAAAAATAACTTCTTGGGGGGGACACCCAAAGAGGCAGCTTCATAGAGAACCTTGTTTTATATTTATTCCAAACTCTTAGTATGGCATGTCAGTTTTAAGTACCATTTGTTCAGTGTCGTAAATTTGGTCACTAAATGAATGGTCATTAAAAAAGGACTACCTGCAATGATATTGAAGCATTAGGGCTGCTGTTAAATTCTTAAACTTTGTTTTTAAATAACACTGCAACAAAGAACAGTTAAGTTATATAGATACTTGTAACTGGTGAGTTAACAACTGTAACTAGCAAACTGCATTACAGGTAGTCCTTGACTTACCACAGTTCATTTAGTGATCGTTCAAAGTTACAATGGCACTGAAAAAAGTGATGGGTGTTTTTCACAAGACTATTGTGGCATCCCCATGGTCACATGATCAAAATTCGGATGCTTGGCAATTGACTCATGAACACTGCAATGTCCCAAGTTCATGTGATCCCCTTTTGTGGATTCAATGTGGAAGCCATATTCACTTAACATTAACAACTGTACCAAGAAAGGTTGTAAAATGGGGCAAAACTCACTTAAATGTCTCACTTAAAACAAAAATTTTGGGCTTGATTATGGTGGTGAGTTGAGCACTACCTGTATCTTTAGCAGTTTACTAGTTATAGTTCAAGCAAACTGCATTATCCTCAGCAGAAATTGAGAGTGTTTTTATTAAACACTACATGATCCTTTTCAACACAAGGAAAATGCCCAGTTGCACTACAATTTTGCAAAATGGAGTACTTTCTGATAGTGGCTTGTCATTCCAAAATGGCAATAACTTGTTTTACTGCATAACTGATGCCAAAGATTATGATATATATGTTTAGAATGAATTCAACTGATTAAATAATTCTACCAAAAAGAATGAATGCAGAATGCATTCCATGAATTCAAATGCTACCATGCCAGGACCAATTGCAATGAATGCTTATTATATTATAATTTAACAAAAATTAAAGATAAGGGGGAAAAGATATAGTTTGCATAATATTCATTTTGTTTATGAAAACCAGCTTGAGATAGTGGTTAAGGCACCAGGCTAGAAAGTAGAAGACTTGAGTTCAAATCCTGCTATAGCCATAAAAGCCAGCTGGGTGACTTTGCGCCAGTCACTCACTTTAAAGGGTTGTTGTGGGGAAAATAGGAGGAGGAAAGTATGTTGGATATGTTCACCACCTTGAGTTATTTGTAAAAATAATAAAGGAGGGATACAAATAAATGTTTATAGTAGACCAGTTCAAAGTATAAGACTTCAAAATTGAATAGTGTATAGTTCCTGTATATTTTTTTGAGTTGTATCCCTGCTCTTTGTCATCAAGATGCCATCTGCATATTGACTGATATTCTTCTATTTGCCCTCCTTCCATCTCTATATTTGCTTTGAAGGATGGGGAGATTTTTGGAATCGATTGACCCAAAAGGCAGGGAAAAAGAAGAAATTGTGAATGGCTATCTGCTCATAAGAAAGAAAGAAAGAAAGAAAGAAAGAAAGAAAGAAAGAAAGAAAGAAAGAAAGAAAGATAGATAGATAGATAGATAGATAGATAGATAGATAGATAGATAGATAGATAGATATTTTATATCTTAAGAAAAATCAGTATTCAAAGTTGTTTTAACTACTTATGGACAACATGGAATATTCTGTCTTTGTAATGTTCTGTCTCCTTCCTGAAACAGTTGTGGAAGTATATTGTCACTTTCTGTTCCAGAGCTAACATTTCTAGAAATGTATGTATCCCCAAATTGTGTAGATTGGCCTGTTGTAAGAAAAAAGTGTACATTGTGAGCAGTGCTATATTGCATACCCTTATTTTAAATGTATTAAGGGAGAGCATCATTAAATATTTTCTTCCTGTCTTTACTTCCTAGTGACAATAATTTGCAAAAATAACTTCTATTTTAGGATTGCACATTTTAATTAGAACTGGAAAAATGAATTCCACAGATAGAAAAAATACAACCTTTCTTTACTGAGGGCAATAAAATCAGAGGAAGCAGACATCTAGTATGGAGCATTGTGGTTGTTTCTGGTACAGTGACATAATGAACATCGAGGGTTGCTTTGCTGATCTGCAAAAGTGTGTATCTGTGGCTTATTTACATGAAACCTTATCTTTTTTTATATATACAGCATCAGAACAGCTACTACAGACTTCTTCTTGCGAAGATAGCTTTTTACAATGGCTAGCCAGGTAAGATAATTTGATAGAAATGCGGTTGCATTATTAGCTAATTTGGGGGAAGCGCAACCTTGTCCATAATTCTTGGCAAATGGCAGATTTGAACCCAGTACTCCTGGGGAAGGGATGATGGGTTTTTAGCCATATATTTCCCTCAGATAAATTTCTGACAAATTGTTCTCCCCTGCTGTGAAATCCTTAATCACGCCAACTGAAGCAGCTTGGGGACAGAACACGAAACTTTGCTTTCTGCACTATTGCACAGTGAGTTCTTGTGGTGGGACTTTCCTATAACACTCACTATTTAAGATGCCTTCATTGGAACTACTACCATTCATGTAAGTAAAACTTAACAAAAACGTTGAATGTGTATCCCTGAGGTGAGATTACTGTCTACCTTTGGTTACGGCCTCCTTCCCTTTTCCTTCCCATATGCCTCTGCTGGCTTTTATTTTTTATTTTTTTTTGAATGTGACACTTTTGTCACTTGCATGTTACTGTTGTGAAAACCAGACATGAGTTCCTTCGGCTGTGCTGTAGACTTATTCCAAACAATTTTCTTGAGATACTGGCCAACAGCCTACTACAGAAGAGCCCCAAGTCCGTTTTCTGTATTTAAATAAACAGAAAGAGTGACCTGGCTCTACACCTTATTCTGCTGTAGTTTCTCTGAATGAATAAGCAGGGTCCTTTTGGAAAACAAAAATCTTAAATGACATGCTCAGTCAGCCTCTAATGATTAACCTTTTTTTTAAATGAAGGAAGCCGAGGGAGTCAAAATGTTGGCGTGAAAAGCAGTAACTCCGATAGCCAGCTTGACTAAGTCAGGGGAATATGGCTTTTCATACAATCCTTTGGCTCTGTTATTTTTGCCAGGCATTTTCCCCAGAGGCTGCTTTCCCTCATGGGAGGCGGAGGGAGAGATGGGACCCCAGGCTTCTGTCAAGGGAAAGGTGAATATGGGGAAATCACCGAGGTGGTGATCGGGAGAGGGAGGGAGGCATTTAATTGAGATGAAATACTGTATAACTGTTTTTCATTCTAGCAGGATACAGTGGGAAAGGCCAAAGAAAGCCTGCCTCTGTGGTGGAGATCCCCCCACAAAAAACGGAAGAAAAAGAGTAAAGCAAGAGCAGGAAGACCAGATTTTACTAGTATTCCAAGCAGGTGAAGAAATCTTGAAACTGACAAGAAAAAAACTGGCTCTTGTCTGTATATAATACCTAAATCAAGTAGTGAGAAGTTAATCAGAACCGACACATTCAATAGTCCTCAGATTCTTTTTAAAGCTTTGTGAATTGAAAAACTGCTCATCACATAGCTAAAAACAAACAAAAAATAAAAAGGCAGTTGTACAGAAGTGTTAAATTTAGTTAGTAACTTTCAAAGGTTCAGTGGATACGAACTGAAAAATGTGAAATGAAGTAAGTAAAAAAAAGCACTAGGCAATTGTTCGACAAGCATCTGGAGAAGCGTGATGGCTGCATTTGGCCCTTTGGGGTTGATTACTGCTTCTCAGAAGGTTTCTTAATTTTACCTTCTTGGTGTTACATAAAATGTGATTTTCTGTTGGACGTTTTTTCTTCGATGCTGAAGGTTTGCTACATTCTGCATTATATAAACTTCACTTTGGAGGATGCATGCTGAAAATTCACAACAGCCTTGCCAATGTTAGAAAGCCAAGAAGCCTATTGATAGCATCACAGTTGGTATCTGAATTACAAATGAAGGTTATTGCAAGATATTGGCAAGCATCATTTGTTTCCATAAATTAAGCTATGGAGTTTTATTTAATGTCATAGAAACAAAGAAATATAGTTTCTAATTAGATTCAAACTATCACAAGTTAGTTACTGAATTTTCTATTTGCCAGGAGAATTAATGATAAAACTATTTGAAGGTTACTTGTTATTCAGTCTTCAACTGAATGGAGTATGTAGATAGGATGTATGTATTAAATTGGCATTGTTTAGTATGTTTGCTGACATATTAAGCTAAAATGTATGTGTATATGTGTGTGTGTGTTTACTGTTTGGTTCAGAACAACACTAGTACTTAAAACAGTGTTTTGGAGAATGTTTGGTTAATCTGAAATATAAAAGGGATGGTTCTGTTGTATATGCCTCTATTGATCACTTTGTCTTCTATTTAACAAAGTTAGAATTGGGAATGTAAAACTACATCTTTGTGTTAGATACACACGTGCTGAATAACTCGTAAAAAGACATCAAAATATTTAACAAGCTGATAGGACTAGAAAGTTTCAAACAGTTCCAATTGTATAAGCAAAACAAAATAGAATTAGTAGATAACTTAAAATGTAGGGAGGGAGGGTTTTTTCTTTTTTTTAATTTTAAGGGGTTCAGATTAAATGCATTTCCTGCTAATTTTGAACTGAGAAAGTTGAATCTCTTTACTATTTTAATGACATAGCCATCAGAAAATCCTAAACTGTAGCTAAATTTGAAAATTCAAAAGAAATTATTTTTGTATAATTTTAAGACACTTCATGGATGAATCCATTTACCAGGGCATAACCCCAATGAGCAAATAAAAAGAAAATGCAATTTCATTAAGTGCCCCAATAACCTTTAAATTTGTTGTCTTTGGTCATTCTGAAGTAATTGTTGAGAAGCAAGTTTTTAAAATGGTACTTTCTCTCATAAATATTGGTAGAAGTATTTGGATTAAGTGCATTGAGGAAAGCTGTTTTGAGTTACAGAAAGCGCAAGGCCAATTATATTATCCATGATCTGCTTGTAACTGAAATTAGCACTAGCCAAGTTTATTGCATAGGATTAAGTAGATTTCTTCAGTCTGCTTACTTAAAAAAAAAGAGGAATATTGTTCAGACATGATACTTTTTTCTGTGTATGGTGCTAGTGATGCACCATGAATAAGGACAAACAAGTATTGGCTGGATCAATCCTAGGTAGGTATTCTGAGTTACATTCACTGGAAAGTAATCTAGTGGAGACAGGGTTCTGAGGTTTACATTGCAAGATGATTAATCATGTTTTTTCTTCTAATTTCTTCCAGGCCAGAATTTGTAAGGCAAGAATTTGTTAGGGCAGAATTTTCCAGGCCTGAATTTGCAATATTTGTAGGAGAGTTAACTCCTGAAGTGGATGACTTTTTGCTGTATGACTATTTTTTTAAAAAGTATCCATCATGTATAGACTGTAAAGTGGCCACAGATCTGCTGGGATATTCCAGGTAGCATGTTATGAATTAAAATGTGTGTGTGTGTGCATGTGTATGCAATACAGATTTCTCAATCACATCAAAACCTAAATGTTGTGTTTTCTCAAAAAATTTTAAGTCAATCAGAGATAGTTGAATCAGCATTGTCCTGTATTCTTGTTTTTTAATGTTATGTGGTACACTGTGATATATGAATGAAGGATATAATTGTTGTGACCCAGGCCCAAGTAAGTAGTAGGAAAAACAGTCAGTGAAAAAAACAAACTTTATTCGAACAGCTGAGAATTACTTCATTCCCAGCGTCGTTCAACTAAATTAAAGCAAATTCCTCCCAACACAAATTCCTCAGTCCTATCGCAAACCTTAGTCCAATTAGGCAAACTGCCAAAGGCCTTTCTTGGCAAACGTTCAAAAGTCACAGATACAAAAATAAATACAAGACGTAGACGAAGAAGAAGCTACCAACGTTGTTTTCCGGCAAAGCCCAAATGCCGTTGCTGGTCTGTTTTAAGCCTTATGGGAGGGGCCAATCATCTCTTGGACCTACTCCCGAGTTGTTCTCTTTGCTTGAGCTGCTCTTGCCTTCTGGCAGCTCTTCTCATGCGTGCATTAGGAACAGGCTCCTCCTGTTTCTCTGCCTCACTCCTATCAGTCTCTGGAGGCTCTGGAGTCCGCACCTCACTCCCCGATGGCCCTGGCCCCATCTCTGCATCTGACGCATTGCCCTCATACGGGCCTTCCCCAGCCTCCAGGACTGGCCTATGTTCTTCCTCAGCCTCATCGTTGTCCAACTCCGCTGCCAGCTCCGCAGGCTGCTAGCGGACCACAACAATAATTTTATTGAAATACATGTTTTGAGATATCTGCTTTATATCAGTTAATGCTTTAGAAAGAGGCTCTGTCAGACCTGCCCCAATCTAATTCCTTAGGAAAGAAAGATGCTTGACTCCATTTGGTTGAAGTGATAGGCTCTTTTACTAAAAGATGCTGGCTGTATTAAAGTCAGACTAGAACTAAATTTCCCACACTCGCTCAAAACAATACAGAAAGCTCCCCCACATCCCAGCCCTCCCCCCTTGTCTTCAGCCAATAAGAGTCTGCCTAGGTGTTTTGAGAAAGCTGAGATGTTTATGGTAATCCTCATTTTTTTCAGGGTGCATGGCCTTGGGTGCTGACACAAACTGATCCTGAGCTCTCCTGTCTACCCTCCCAATTTTCCTATCACGTACACATGCAGTTTGATTGCCCATTTGTCGTCATCCCTGATGTTCCTCTCCTCCCCCTCCCCCTCCCCCCCAGCCTTTGATGGCTATATAGGCTCTCCTTCTAAAACTCAGATGAGATAATTTTATAACTGAATGCAAAATGCATAAGAGAATAGTTTCTCATATTTGAAATGGTTCAGATATATTGTAGAAATGGGCACGTTAATTGGGATCAGGTACAATTAAATGGTATTTTTGTTTATAGATTGTATGAAATAATTTTCTTTAGTAGAATTAATGTCACTGATTGTTGAAAATGTGTGCACTCTTAGACTCAGGTTGGGTTAATATGCCCTAATGTGTTATTTAAATGATATTCTAAATAACCATTCACAGTGCAGTGAAAATATAATTGATAATAAAATATTATGTGTGCTTTTTTGATATTAAAGTATTATTAAAGTTTGTCTTTTAAAACTCCTCAGAGGTTATGGTTTTGTCAGATTTTCTGATGAAGGCGATATGATGAGAGCACTGCAAGATTGTCAGAATGCACCTGGTCTAGGTGGAAAACGAATCCGATTGACTTTAGGAATTTCTAAAAGGTATTTGATGCGAAATTAACAAATCTTTTGGGTTTCAAATGTCTTATGAAATTGCAAGTGTATCTGATTACAAAAATTTAAATTTCTTAAAAATAATGTTTCTCAAAATATTTTGCTTTCCTTTTCTAATAATACAGTTGTTATGAAACAGTCAATATATAAGCAAGTCAATTTCTGGTTTTCTTTAAACAATATTGAATTAATACACTTTAATTCTTTGCAAAACCACATCGTGTCAAAGCATGCATATAAGTAACCGGGGTCCATAACTTGTTCCACTAGGGGTTTGGATGTTTTAAGTTGTTCTACTGCCACTTGGATTCCCCTCTCTTCCTTAATGATATTTGAATTTCTTTGCTTGCTTGTTTTTCCTTTTACATTAAGGAAACAATATATACCTAAACAAAATATAAAGCCCTTTTTGTCCCAAAAACTCAATGAATACTTTTCATTTAAGAAAAATACAGCATATAACTATAGTTCTAAAACACTCTGCTGCTGCACTCCAGGGCACCACAGCAAATTCCAAGGGTACAGCGGGATATTTTAATGTAGTACTTAATAAACAGAATTGTTAGTTTGCTGTGGCATCCAAGTTGTTGGAATGCACAATTTGGAAACCTTTAGAGGTACAGTGGATCAAGAAAGTTTGGGAACCTCTTGTATTATGTTTTTTCACAATGTATTCTCTTAAATGTGTAATTTGATTTGCATAGTTTTACTTATGTATGCCAAACAAAGTTAACCTGGATGGATGAAAGTAAATGGAAACAGAAGAAATACTTAGGAGAAAGTAGGATTTTTGCTATTTGAAGTAACGATAGTGTTATCGGTGGCAGCTTTTTTAAAAAATAGGATTTTCACTATTCAGTTGTAAACAGTGCTCTTAAGAAATTCTAACTTAATCTTTTCCCTTTGCATTTTAGACTGAAAGCAGAATTTCAAAGGTACCAGGCCTATAGTTATAATGACTATTACCAAGACTATCAAAACTATTACCGCCAGTACAATTATGATAGAAATGAACGCTATGACCGATTTGATCGCTATGACCGATTTGACCGTTTTGATCGAGGTAGCCGTTTTGGTGATCGTTTTTCTGAACGTTACCCTGAGCATTTTGGTGATCGTTTTCCTGAACGTTACTCTGAGCGATTTGGTTCTCGTTTTGGTGAACGCTATGAGTATCCTGAGTATGGAGATTATCCTGAATATGCAGATTATAATGCTGACTACAGTGATTATAATTATAGTTACGCATCTTATGAAAGGATGCAGCCTACTGGAAATATGGGACAACAAGCAGTGAATCCATCTTTATTTCAGGTATTCACATAAATTAAAGTCAATTTTTCTTAGGGTTGCCTTCATGACCCTTTGCCTTTCAGAGCTGTTGGAGTTTAACTCTCATGATTCCTAGTTTACTAGTTGAAAATTACAAGTTCTGAAATTCAATATTTCTGGAAACGCCAGGGTTCATAAGTATTTTTTTTTTATGTTTTAAATGTGTTGGCTGCTTTTCAGTGTCTTCAGCTGCAATAACTTAAAATGGAAACAGAAAAGGTTCTGGATCAATGGTTGTTAGGCCTATATTTCTGTAAGATGTTTGAATTTAAGATAGTGATGTCCATTTCTTCTTTAAAAAGGGTGTTTTGCTCATTTTTGTAACTGTTACAGTATGAAACAGCTAAAAAAATTGATAAATTGTCGAAAGTCAGAGATAAGCTCTTCATAAATAAACACTGCTCAACATTTTCCCTCATCTAGGCAAAATACTTCCTATACTAGTCTCAGTCCACCCAACACACAAGCCTTTCTAAAAGGTGTTGAATCTTCTACAAAAAGAACACACACACTATATTGCTTCATTCATTGAAACTTTTTCTAATCCTAATCCCCTCAAAAGTGGTGCTTCAGTTTTTGAACATGTCAGCTTCCCTCACTCCCTCTCTTTTAATTAAAAATTGTTTAAAAAATCAGGAGAGATTAAGGTAAGGAAATTTGGCACAAGTCAAGGGGAGTTTCTGTGATCACTGTACAATTCTAGATTTAGTACTACATTTGTGAAAATTTCTCCCAGAATCACTGTTTTTATATTTAAGATTACAAAAAATAAAACAATAAGCAAATATCAAACACTAAAGGCAATTAAACAAAAACAAATAGAAATAAGAAAACCCTCAGAAATAATACAAAACTTCTAAAACATGTATAAAACATATAGATGGTTTACAAAAAAAAATCCCATTGTACTATATTGTTATCAATAGAACAAAGATTACCTAAGAATGCTACTATCTTGTTGTAAAATATAACATCTCTATCAAAAAAGAACATTCATTCTCTGGTTAGTGTGAAAATGTTGCCTTTCCAAAGAGTATAAATTACACATTTCTCTTGCTATCACTTTTCCAATTTTTTGATGAACCAATTTTTAGTTTCAAATCTGTCAACATCACTTTAACATTTTTAACCATTTTAATGTGGCATTATTGGAGAGTTAGTCCATGATTAACAAAGTTCATTAGTATCCACTTTAAAAACGTTAACTTTTGGACTGGTTTATCATTGTTGTAGTATTTTCAACTTCAGCATGTTTTGATGGTCCAATATGGGCCAAATGCCTTGGCTACTTCAAAGATACCTGAAGTACTTTCTCATGTGATAGAATCTATGGAATCTATGGAACTTAAATTCACAACATATATTTACAAATCTGAATTTTCTCTTGAATATTCCCCCCCACTTCCAGATACATTTATTGATTTGTTACCTTAATGTTTTGCTCTGTTGTTAGTATGATTTGGAGTTGGTTTTTAAAGTAAGTTAGATCCGTAATCTTTGCCTCAAAAGCTTTTTAAGAAGTAAATAATAATTTTTTTTGTCTACGCCCTGGTTCTATAAAGTGACAAGCCAGGATTAGTGGAAAATAAAACTGAAAAGTGAAATGCCTCTGAATATGTAGGAGGCAAGAAGAGCATAAAAGTCAAGAGATGTGCATAAATGTGTATATTTGTTCCCTCTCCATTGAAAGAGTGTAAATGAATATGTATGGGATTTGTTTTTTTTTTCACTACAAAAAGTAAAAAAAAATGATAAATTCTTTTTTTCCCCCTCCAGGATACCTGTGGTATGATTTTAAATGATGATCTAGTAACAGAAGGTAATGTTTATATTAGTATTTCCATATAGAATTAGATCACCAAATAGTTTCACTGATAAGATCTTTGAAAATGTAGTAATCTGGAAGAATATCTTTCAAATATTGTTTGATATGGTAGCTGTCTGCTGTGTTTAAAATTAACTGTATTATAATCTATCTGACTGAAGTCTTATGTATTTGAATCTTGTTGATAACATAAAAATGAGCATGAGGTTGAGGATAGGTTGTAGGTTGTCACATGATGCCCAAGTTTACATGGCATATTAACAAAATTTCTTGATTTCTCTTCACTGTTGTATGTGAATTCAGCTATTTTAGCATAAGCCATAGATAATTGTTTATTATTTATTATTATGAATGAGGGGGACTTAGGTCCTTGTAGTTACAACCATCATAGTGTCCATGCTGTCACGTGATCGTAGTTTAGAATCTTGGCAATTAGGTTGCAATGTCCCATGATCCTGGGATCACCTTTTGTGATTTTCACTGCCATCTTCCAACAAGCAAAGTGGGGAAAACAGCAGAAAGTCACAAATGGTGATCATGTGACCGTTGAATGCTGCAACTGTGTTGAATTCACTTTATGATGATAACGGGGGCTGTTAAAACTGTCACACATTGGCATATCTTATATCCGTGTCACTTTGTAATGATTTCCTGATCCCAGTTGCCATCCATAAGCAAGGACTACTTGTATTACTTATTATATTAAGTAATAGATTAAGATTATTATAGATTACTATATTAGGTAATATATTAAGATTTTCTTTAGTTAATAAACTATTAACAATTAAAGAATATATAAACTATATTAACAATTAAGAATATATAAACAGTGTGCCTTGTTTTCTCCTTGAGGGCTCTTGGCTTGTCTCAGGATGGGCCAAATCTGTGTGTTCTTTATTGGTTCATGTGTTTCTGAAACAAGTAATGTTCTGGGTGCTCTTTGTTCCAGGCAGTACATTTCCAACAGGTCATAAAACATCCTCAGTTGCATAAATTAACACATGGAGGAAACTATAGAGGAACTATTTCATTTTGCACATTAAAAAAATACTTAAGAAACATTTCATTTTCCATTAGCTACATAATTTGTTTTACAATTCAGGTTTCCAAGAATAAGATTCATTATCCTTTACAGATTGACAGTGGGCCAAGTAACATTGCATTGAGCCCACTAAGGGCTTTGGGGGGTAGTAACAGCATAATAAAAACCAATACATTTTTGAAATTTGTACTGCAGCAGGAGAGACGGCTATGGTACTCTATTGACTATAGTCCGCCTTTTCATTTTCTATCAAATATGTGCATGCCGAATCTCCTCCAAATCATGTGGGACAGGGAGGCAATTTTAGATTTCTGGAAATAAGTCTTCTGAATGGGAAGCAATCTTAAGATGTTCAAAACATATCTTGGAAGAAATAAGCCTCTTTCAGAGCTGAAACAGCTTAGAAGAACCTTAAACTACTTCATGTTTGAAGATTTATTTCGGAGAATTACTGAAATGCCCTCTGGAAGTACATGATTTGGAAGAAAATTGAAAATTTGGTTCCTGGATCAAAATGTTTTACATATTGTTAACATGGCAAATAGGATAAGAATCTGTTGCATCCGAAACTACTGTAGCTATAAATCACTTTAGATCAGAATGTTTTCAGGGCACAAAATTTTTTTTTAGATTTCTAATTCTTTTCTCCATGAACTCAAAATAAAAGATGTTTCTAAATATATTGTTTTCAGAGGAGATAGCCAGATAGTCTTTAGCAACAAAAACAACAAAATCTAACAATGCCTTAAAAAGTGAATAAGGTATTTGTTAAGTGATAATAAATTTGTGTTTCAGGTGCCCAATTTTTTTTGTTGAATATATTGCAATATTTTTGGTACTTAAAATGGAACAAAGTATTTGGTAATCTTCAATTGCTTTGGATTACAATTCTCATAACTGGTCATGTTCATTCAATAGTCTATTGTTTATAACATCTTAAGGGTATCAGAAAGTTTATATTATATTTAAAGTATAGTGTAGCAGTTCTGCCGGTGATTTGCTTACTGACTTTTGTTTATTTGAACAGATCCACAACTCAACATAGATGTTCATAGAATGAACAGAGAATTTATGGTGAGAAGTGAAGAACTTTTTGACACACTTATGAGCTGTCATTGGCAACCTCTGGACACAGTCACTTCCGAGATCCCTACTGCTTTCTAAAAGTGTCTTATGTTAACACCATAGCATGACTATTTTGACCAAGGTGCTAAATTGACATTTCTTCTACATTACTTTAGATCCTAAATTTTAAAGCACAGTGTTGGATTATTATTTTTTTGCAATGCTTTGATGGCCTTTGTAATTTTGTTCATCAGTATCTTGAAATCATGTAAATATTCTGGAAATGTAAAGAGTTAAATATGGACTTGCTTATGTAAATAATAAAACCTTGTTTCTGCAAACACACTTGTAAAACCTTATTCTTTTACTGTAAAGGATATGCCTACTTGGTACTTAGATCCTCAGTGGCACATTAACCTAATTGATTTCTGGTGGAGGTGGAATTAAATTAGGTAGACTTTTGATTCATCTGATTCATCAAGTTGACAATCGTAAGACAATATACAGAACAAAAAATGCATGTATTTATTGGTATCTGATGTCTTGCTTATGGTATTTTTTAAAAATACTCGTTTCAAGAGGTAATAACTTCAGTGTCTGGAATGCACTTTTATTGGATTATACTTTCACATGCTGCAGAAATGGCAATGGTGGTAGAAACAGCTTCAGTATGCAACATTACAAATTTTAACACTTGAGTTAGTAATCCTTGAAACTAAACTTTATATTTTTTTCTAGTGATGTAACTATGTTTCACCAAGAAATCTAAATTGTCCTGTAGATAACATCAACTACAAGATTGCTATTTCACCTGCATCTCAAACCCACTTTTAATTTATAAATAATGCACAATACTGCTTAGTGCAACCTGATTCTATGTGAATGTATGTAATTGTGTATTTGTAGCTAAGAGACTAAGTGGGGCCTTAGAAGAGTTGTGGAATAAATAGAGGGAATGCTACCCTATGTTCAGCTCCTGGAAGAAAGTGTACAAATCAAATCCTAAGTAGCATGGGACCAGGTTATCTACCAAATTACCTTTTCCTAAGGACAAATATTCATCCTACCATGTCATAGGGTGAGCATGCTCCTAGTCCCTTTCCCTAAATTATGCCTTATGTGAGTTAGGAAGCGTGCCCTTTCTGTGACAATGCTGGTTATCTGTTCTTTGCAACACAGATTTGTAAAAACCAAATTATGCCATCAAAACCAAAATCTGGACCTCAGAAAAAGATTCTTTGATGCTGATGAAGTCTACAAAGCTGGAAGTCTACAAATTGTAAAACAACGTAACTGAATTAGTATAGAAATTGGGAAACAAAACTAACTCTTCCCATGTGTGCTCATCTGACAAAATTGCTCCTCCCAAAAAGAAATGCAATACTCTGGGAGGTGGCACCCCAGGGTAAAAGCAAAAGATTTCTAAATCATTCTTGTATTCTCCAGTGCCAAGAGTTCATGAGTGCACATAAAACCTGAACGAGAGTAGTGTACCTGGGAGTATATTAAGCAGAAATCATTATTATAGAAAACAATGCTGTCCATGGTCTGAATCAAGCTCTGAATAAATGGGGCAAAAATGAAGCTTCTGGGTTTTAATGAGATGTTACATTTGGAGAAAATGAAAAGTACAAGGAACGTTGGAATGTACAGATGGCAAATTTACAGGAAAATGTTTTCCATCCATTTACAGAAGTTTAACTGATGTAGACAGTCTAAAGGTATGGTAGGTCATGAAGCACAAACCATGGTTCTATATACACAGAATAGGTGAAGCAGAAGAAATGTTGTATGCTGGGAATGGCTGTGCTAGAGTCCTGATTTTAACCTATGTGGTATGAACTAAAGTGAGAAATTTATGCAAGGCAGTCCTAAAGTATCAATAAATTGAGGCAGTTATGTAAATAGTGGTGGCCCAAAATCTCCAGACTAACCACTGACTGATCAAATTATGGAAACCTTTGACTGAAATTTTTTTTAAAAAATGAATGTTGACTATATATTCAATAAAGCAATGATACAGTACATGTTGTTTATCTAGAATTTCGGTACTAATTTATAGTACTTTGATGAATCTCAGATCATATTATAGATCACAGTACTACACAATTGTGGCTAGTTGTAAAAGGTTCTCAATTGTGGTTTTGTTGTTAAATATGTAATATTATCTTCAGGACACATTTAGATATTAGATCATCCCTCCAAACTATCTATTGCAGTACTATTTATACAAATTACACTAGTAAATTTATTATTTATTCAATTTATATACATGTGCTCAATGTGATAATATTGGAGGAAATCAGTAGAACATGGGTACTCTTTGATAAAGATATCACTTTCTAAGGTACTCTTAAAAGATATTTATCATCCTTTAGACTTTAAATATATCACTTTCTAAGCAATTCTTCCAATAGAAGATTGGAATGTGCACAAATGGGAAATGTTTCATTCTGAAACAAATTTCAGTCATTGCAGGCGCCCAGATTTTGACTGAAACAAGATTTGAGAGTCCCAAAGATGCTTTTTCGAAAAAGTAACGATTTTTTTCTGTTTTAAAAAAAGTTTCACTTCTTATCCAAGAAGTTCCTTCGATTCTTGTCCATAGACAAGATTCCGGAGTGTATTTACAGGGCAACTAGGGCCGTTCTATCATTCCCTCTCCTGCTTTCCATGGTTTTTGTGGCAGTCTCCCTGTTCCACCATCTTTCCTCCCTTTCTACCTTCCTCACTGTGCCTACTATGGATTCCATGTATGGATTCACATCGTACAATCTCATCGATTGGCCTTGTCCATCCCTGCTACCTTCCCAGCTTCCTTGTTCTATGATTGCTCCCATACTTATTCTCCTGACTTGGGCTATCCCCATGATTTAAAGTAACCAACTTGGTCCAAGTTAAAATCTTTCTGGGATGTGTTAGCAGGCTCAGGTTGAGCAACGAGCTCATGATATTCAGCAGTATGCTTGGGCTGCTTGCCTTAGGAATAAGGCCCATCCAGCACACTTACCAAGCTGGAGAAGAAGGCAGAACTGGAACAAAACTGGTTGTTGCCTAATTTAGGTAACACTTCTATGTTTATGTCTGCATGCTTTATCATCAAGGAATCCCATCAACGTTGGCTTTTATTCCACACAAAACAACCCAATTTCATTTCCAGGCACGTATTAAAAACACATAACCATCTATGCACAGACCAGGCGTTCTACACAAAGAACCTTCGCGGAAGGAATCATTTGCCCATCTTTAGTTTCTCTTAACCAGTAGAAAAATAGTTGAGAGCTAGACAACTTCATACCCCCCTAGGAAATGCCTTGCTAACTCCTAACACCGCAATCAAAAGCATTTAGATAAACGATCCCTCCGTTTTTATCTACCAGGTAGGTAAACCACTAGAATAATAAAGATCTTCAAAAGTGTATTGGAAGGATAGTTTCAAAGAGCACCGACCGATTATGCCTTCAGAGTTAGGGCCTCTATTCCTAAGAGTGACAGCACAAGAGAACCTCACTAGGCTGGCGATGAAACAAAAAGAAACAAAAATGACTTTTAGTTTCAGAATATCAAGCGCCAAGCTCTCCTACAAGAACGTATCGCGAGATTGCGTCACCGGTGCCTAGCGCTTCATTGGTAATCGCAGAAGTCAGGTCGATAACTCTGTTTCTGCGCAGCCCCTCTCAAAAACTACATTTCCCACTAGAGCTTGGCGTTCAACGCGGGATGATGCACCAGAGGAGTCGCTGCTTGGTGACGAAAATCGGTGCCGATGCGTGCCCTCTGGTTGGTCGGGAGAGAAGGAAGGAGGGGGAAACCTCGAACAAGCTAGACGGTGACGGGAAAGGGTGGAGGGGGGGGTGGAAAGGGAGGAGAAAGTGGGGCGGTAGGGACGGATTCGGCGCGCGCGCGCGCCAGCCAAATCTAAAGGGAGGCATCCTGTGAGGGCGCGAGGCCGGCTGCGTGGTGCGAGGCATCGCCATAGAGACAGTGACAGCACAGAACAGGATTGGGGGCGAGAGGAAGAAGAGGAGGAGGAGGAGGGAGGGGGGGGAGGGGGAGAGGGGAGCCCGCGCGGCGGGTGGGGGTGGGGGTGGGGGCAGGCCGGGCCAGGCCGGGCCTTGCCTGTGTTTGCGCCGCGCGCCGAGGGAGGGTGGGTGGGTGGGAGACTCGGAACAAGTACCAACATGGATTCAGGGGAGAGCGGAGTCGGCGGGGGCGGCGGAAAGATCCGGACGCGACGGTATCATCTGGCAGCGGCCTCCTCGAAGCCTTATCCAAGAAACAAGCAGGTGAGAAGGCCGCCGCGGGAGAATGGAATCCGTGGGGACGGCGGGAAGGGAGGGAGGGAGGGGGGGGCGAAAGGAGGAGGGAAGAGGAAGCCACCGTCGGCCCCCGGAACTGCCGGGGAAGCTCACTCACGCGCTTTCCCCCGCCCCGGGTGGGGGTGGAAGTCGGCCTGAGAGGGAGCCAGGCCACGTTCTGGCTGGACGGGCTACGAGCGCCGGGAGTCGAATGAGCCGCGGGTGGGGGGGGGGGCTCTTCTCTCTCTCTCCTCTCTCTTTTTCTTTCTTTCTTTCTTCCTGCCCCCTCAGTGAGAGGACGGGGAGAAAAAGGCCCCGAGCGAAGGAGCGTGCGTGCGTGCGTGCGTGTGAGAGAGAAAGAAAGATCGTGAGGGAAACAATTAGAATGGTTAATAATTCCACGTACTGCTGTGGAACGTTAAAAGCCGGGGAATGGAGAAGCCTGCGGGAAAAGGGATTCCCCTCAGGGGTGATGGGATAGCACGAAGGAGGAGGAAGAGAGAGAGAGAGAGAACAGGCCTCCTCGCGATCACTTTTCCCGCTTTTCTGCGGATTTGACCCGCTTTTAAGAAGGCGGTCGAGGCTGGCATCATTTTTCCCCTTGGCACTTTTTTCTTTTTTTTTAACCCCCTTTTTGTTTGTTTGTGCAAAAACCTTTCTTGCACGTGGTATAGGGCCAAAAAAAAAAAAAAAATCCCGTGTGCGTTATAGTACACACTGATCGCCGGAATTGGTTTGATTTCATTGGTAGGTGGGGTGGAATTTTTGTTTTTGTTTTAAAAAAATATAAATCCGATTAAGGTAGTTCTATCAAAAGAAGACGCAGCCTAGTAATTGTAATCTGCGAAGTAGGTTTTGGTTTTCAGATTTAATGAAAGCAAACCGATTTTGTGCCGTTTTTAAAAGATTGGCGCGGGGGCATAAACCACTAAATGGGCTTTGCATATCCAAAAACAAATTAAATTCAAATGAATATCTTGTAAAGTTTATAGAGTTCTGAGTTATATTTATTGTGCTAAAATATATGGACATGACTTTTTTTA